AGGCCATTGCTATTAGGATGGAGGCCATTGCTATTAGGATGGGGGCCATTGCTATTAGGATGGATATTAGGATGGAGGCCATCGCTAAATTTGTGTGGGGGCCAGGTGCTGCAGCTGTTGAGGATCGCGTTGCCGCCCTGGAGGTGCGGGCCTGCGATGCGCTCGTCCTGAAGCGGATTGGGGTCCGGTCCGAGCATCACCAAACCCTAAGACACAAATGGCTTGGCACAGCTCAGCCTCAGAATTCATTCAAACCTGTGTGGACAGGGGTACCAAGTAAAACGATGTACTGTAAAAAGAATCATGTCCAGGATTTCGGTATGAACCTATTGCTTATCCTTCCATTGTGAGAGTTGGGCATGGAGTGAAGTCCCAGGTTTGGTCTGTTGTTCGTCTTGCCGAGGCCTTGCTGGAGCCAGCGCGCAGAGGCCGATTCTGCCCAGCTGTGGCGCATGAGTGGGACGACCTACTTCCCACCCCATAGAAGTGATCTTGCACGTCATTGGAAAAGGTTGGAACATGAAAAACATATTTTGGACACCGTTTTGGAACCAAAAGTTCCCCGTCCTAGGAACAATGGCATTGCTACTAGGAGCAAGAAGCTACTAGTAGCTCCTGGCATCGCTACTAGGAACAAGGGCATCGCTACTAGTAGCTTCTTGCTTCCCTTTTTGCGTTTTTTCCCTGTCCTTGTGGCTTTTATTTTCACCTCTTCAAGGTGAGGACTGCGCCATCGCTGCTTTAGCAGACAGCTTGCAGGTGGGGACACACACTCTGACAATTGTATTCAGGTATCTCAATTCCCACGTTGGGAAGGAAGGTGAGGGAAACGTAAGGTGAAAGGGTCAGCGCAACTGAAATGTTTAACAATCTGTTCACGCGGTTGAACGACGGCGGCTGAATGCTGCAGTGGGAAAAAACCTGTTTGTGGGAGAGTATCGTGAAGAAGGACCATGAAAACAACAAAACAGCGGCAGGGTGGACCATTGGAGTCAGTGTGTTGAAAGCAGGTACAGGAAGGTGATCAGCCTTCCCTTCCCATCCATGACCGCAGCTTCGTTGCACACGGTAGGTCATGGATGCCGTGTGCCCCTGCTAGTGAAACAATTGGCAGTGGAGGTCAAGAAAGGAAACCTGTTGACCAGGGGGCGACACACACAGGTCACCGTCGCCGGCGCTTTTTCAAAAACCGGTGGCAGGCTTGGTGGTTGTGTCCTTTTTGACACACTCCGCCGCTTTGCGGCTCTCTGGCATAAAACGGAAAGTAGTCACCTAAAAAGCCTTAGAAACAAAAGAAAGGAAAGACAGAAAGAGCAGCGCTAAGAGGGCAAGAAAGAAAGATAGGTGTAGAAAAAATGAATACTTAGCCCTTGACTGGGGTAGGGAAACGAGCCTGAAGAACAACCTAAAAAGCCTGAGAGAATGCCCAACAAACGACGGAAAGCGCAAGAAGGAAAGTGGGGGGGCAGGGAGGGGATGTATGTGCATGTGTGTGTACATGTGTGTGTGTGTGTGTCTGACTACCTAGCTCTCTAGAGTTACTGAATACTTAGACGAAAAATTACGTGCAGTAGTTAGGGAGCGGGACTTTAGTCTTAGACCGCCCGGGTAGAGAAGACTAGAACAGGAACAACACAGGGAAAGGCACCGACACACAAGTGTGTCGAGTACCATTTCCCTATGTTGCCCTAATTAGGTGGGGAGTAGAACTCGGCGGGCGGGGGGGGTGGGGAAACCTGCCTGATTGGGGTACCGTTTTTAAGCCCGGCGGCTATGGAGACCCGTGGTAAGGCCCGGCGGCCGTGGTAGCGGTTGATTCTGTGGGAGTGTAGGTGAGTTCCAGTGAAGTTCCTGTGAGCGGTGGTAAGTTCAGTGAATGCTTTCCCAATGAAACAGCGCCCCAATGATGGGGATCACACTCAGCACCCGAGTGGGACGGCTGAGCGAAACACACTCTGACAATTGTATTCAGGTATCTCAATTCCCACGTTGGGAAGGAAGGTGAGGGAAACGTAAGGTGAAAGGGTCAGCGCAACTGAAATGTTTAACAATCTGTTCACGCGGTTGAACGACGGCGGCTGAATGCTGCAGTGGGAAAAAAACCTGTTTGTGGGAGAGTATCGTGAAGAAGGACCATGAAAACAACAAAACAGCGGCAGGGTGGACCATTGGAGTCAGTGTGTTGAAAGCAGGTACAGGAAGGTGATCAGCCTTCCCTTCCCATCCATGACCGCAGCTTCGTTGCACACGGTAGGTCCTGGATGCCGTGTGCCCCTGCTAGTGAAACAATTGGCAGTGACTCATATACGAACTGTATGTTCCAATTGAAGGCTGGCAAGAGCATGCCATGGACAATTGGCCATGGAACCCTTTGCTCCTGTTTTTGCTTCTCCTTTTTATTCCTTTTTGCTTTAGCTTCTGAGCCTTGGAAACGGCCTTGTCACTTGTCACATATCCTTTGACTTACCGTCGGTACTTACGGTTGAGTGTGTATCGCAAGAGATTGTGGGGGAAGGGGCCGTTCCAATGTAACATACTTGTCCCTTTTGTAGCCACCCGCGGGCAAAAATTGGAGCGGGTCAATTTTAGAGCAGGCAGGAGCTGTTCCAACGTGCTACGTTTTGCGGGTAGAGTTTTAGAATATTTACAGAAGGAAGGAACCTTTGCGATGTAGCATGCCTTTTGTGATCACCCGAAGGTAAACTGCCTGAAAAGATGCAAAAAAGTCAAGCCCGAAGCCCACCGAAACCACCCCAAAGAAAGAAATAAAGCCCCAAATCAAACTCAAAGACATCCTAAAGATAAAAACCTCAGCCAAGGCCAAAGATACCCTAAGTTCCTCTCTCCACTTTGTTCCTTCTTGTCCTCTCTCTTTTTCTCTCTCTCTCTCTCCCACTCCCTCTCCCCCTCCTCCTCTTTGCTCCTTCTCCTTTGCGCTTTCGTCCTCTCTTCCTGTCCCTCTCTCCCTCCCTTTCGCTCTCTTGCTCCTTTTCCTGATCTTTCTGCTGCTCCTTCTGCTTCCAACACACTCCCGAAAAAATATTGCACAAATGGCTTAAGACAATCTCTCCAGAATCCCCCACCCACTGGCAACTGTAACTCAGGGAATGCCCTCTCTTCATCAACCTTAGGCGCTGACAATTTTGGAATTTGTAGGACCTCAAGCATTTGTTTATGTTTGTTTGTAGGCCTCGCTGCTTACATCATGAGAGATCACCATAGCACGTGCTTGCCTGCTTGTGTGGATGTTGGATCAGCTGGCAGATGCTGCCAGGACTGGCATGCCAAGGTCCGGCACACCGCCTTGGATGCGCTGTCCGAGGTCGATGGCCAGTCTGATGCGGAGGGAAGAAGGTCGTGCCAAAGTAGAATCGGTTGGATGTATTTTTAGCCAGCTGAGTTTGATCTTGCTTTATTAACAAGCCGGGGGAGGCTGGAGGACAACACTGATCTTTCACTCGAACCCCTCCCCTCCGTTGTGACAAGTCTAAGACCACGGTGGCAGCTGGCCGTTGCGGTTGCTCTTTTTGATTGGTTGAGCCAGGATTGCAAAGTGACAAGCTGTTGCAACCGATTGCCCTAGCTACAGTAGCTTTAACCCCCGCTGGCCTCAAGTTTGTGAGGGCATTGTGGCAGGCAGCAGTTGAAGTCTGATCCCGTTTTGTGAATACACATAATCAGAACTATTCAGAGATCAAACGGCCAACAGAACGGCCCATCCACAGTGGCGACTTCAATTCCTGGGTTGGTTTCGAGCTATTTTTTCGCACTCCCTGTGCTTGTGCCTGAGAAGCAATGGGCGTACTTGATGATATTATGCTTGACTCTCGGCTGGCCATGCAGCAGCTCCAGTATTTTGCCAGGACATTGGCCTGCAGCAGTCACCATTGCATGATCGTTTGGAAGATGGCGGTGCATTGCCCCTTTTCTTTGGCCTGTTTGTTAAGACACGTGGAAGAAAGTCGAGGGGTAACGAAGCCATAGCTAGGACGTTTGACGGGACATGCCGGGTGATTGCCCTCGAAGGACATACCAGCCGGAAGCGGCAAAAGGGCTACTTGCTCGCAGACTGGAACTATGTTTTTGGGCACGGTTTTGCACAACATTGAGCTCGGTGGCCGGCATGTTTCAATATTTTCACAAGAGAGTTGTTGTTAAGGGCTCTAGGACATTGGAGTTCGTAGCATGTGCTCATGCTATCTGATGCTTGTGTCTTGCGATGACGAGCTGGCCCAGACACTCACTAGCCGTGTAAAGTCTGCGCAGCTGCGGCCCTAGATCACTTTGCCATGGCCTCAGATGAGAAGCCGCCAGGCTACCTGGATGGACATTCGCCGGAGCAAATCAATGCTGTCAGCAGTGCTTTGATCGTAGGAATGCTGGTGGTTCCAATCATCGGAGGAATTTTGGACCGAACCATATGCAAGAGGTATTCAGCGCACAGCAGGGAACCTATGTGGGTGTGGCTGCTGATCATTCTCAGCTATGGATATTTGATCCCAGGACTTGTAGAGGTGCTTTTCAGCTTCAACATCGTCTTCGACATGGGCAGCAAGGGCTATTATGGCATTGGGCCAGGCGGTAGCATCAACAAAGCACCACCCACGACTGAGACGATGCTTGGCTTGATTCGTCTTCTGAACGACACTGGGGGACAGCTGGGTGCTGCTCTGGTGATCATTTATGCCATTGTGATCCCCATCATCAAATTGCTTTTGACCTTCTTCGGAAATACCTTGCAATTGGCTTCCTGCGGGAATCATCGCAGGGCGTCTCGCAGGTGCATCCAAGTGGTTCAGAATATCTCCAAGTGGGCTTGCCCTGATATGTTTGCCTACATTATCCTGATGCATCTTGTGAGATCCTTGACAGTGCCACCGTATTTCAAAGCGAATGGCCGATTGGACATTGGCTTCACCTACTTTAGCCTCTTTTGCCTTGGATCGACGGTGGCTTCACTTGGTATTCGGGTCCCAGACCGGGAGCATTTTTGCTTTCAACAATTGGGCAAGCTCCTGGGTCCACGACGGCTCATTTTCGTGACCATGTCCCTCTCCGTGGCATTCTTCATTTTGTTCTTTTGCGGACTTTCGCAGACGGTGATGTCCCTGAAAGTCGCGAACTCACTTCCAGATTTGGTGAAAATGGTGTTGAGTTTTGTGGGGCTGAAGCCAGAAGATCTCGAGTCAGAGGTGAATGTCTTTGACCTGATTCATGGCTTGGCCCAGGAGACTTTTGAGGAGGGCAAGGTCACCAGCTTCGTTGGCTTCATCATGTTCTGTGTTTTTGTGATTGGCATGACCCTTGTTGACATCATGGCTTTGATGGCGGCGTCGATTGCAGCGCACAACCGGACACCCGCAGCTCGTTGGATGCAGCTGTCCTGGATTGTGAAGAAATTGTCGATGGTAGATGTGATGTGCATGGGTGTCTTGGTGGTGACCCTGTGCTTCTCAATGTACCGAGAATATGTCATCGTCACCATGGGGATTGGTCAGTGGCTCTTAGTGGCAGCAGAGGTGGTGCACTACTTCACCTACTACACGGTGAAGGGTGTGATTGAAGTCACTGAGAAGGTGGACTTGGGCCAAACAGCAAAGGGAGATGAGGAAACCGACCTCTCCAGTGACGAAAGCAGTACGGACGAGGAGGAGGTTATATGAGGTTTCATGCTGAGCGGACTTTTCCAGACTTATATTCGTTCAGTTTTGGACTCGCATTCAGTAAAGCGATTGCGGGTTCAAGGCAACTGCATGACCCCTCCTTGAGCATCCGTCAGAATGTCGGCCCAGCCCGTGTGTCCATAAAGACAGCCACGCTTTGGCAGTGTTCATGGCATCCCACAGGCCTTCTTGTCACTTCAACAGGTCTCTTCACACCGCCCAAAGCTTTGCTGGACCAAGGCTGTTGCAGGTCATGCGACAATCTATACTTCAACCGGATTTGCTCCTTGCCTAAATGACTCCAACATCCTCCAACTCCTTGGGCGAAGACGAATCACTTGAGATCCCGGGAATGGAAGTAAAGGTCTCTCTCACCTAACTAGAACATAAGACTAGAATCCATGGATGATTATTGTGAAAGTCTGAGTGCTCTGGACGTCGAAAGCACACATTTACATACTGAGTCAAAGACTCTGCTGGGTTGGAGCCGCCAGCCACAGCTGGTCTGCTGCGGGTTTGGGCGCTGCACTGTTTGCCAGAGGCTGCACTACAACGCGGCCCTGACAGCACAGCGGCGTGCTGAGCACTGGCAGAGTGCTCAAGTGATGCTGTGCGAGATCTACCAGGCTCGATCGTTGGTTTTCAGCGGTGTCTGTGGATGATTCGCCCAGAGGGACAGTGGACCACCCAACCCATCTTCGAAAAGACATTTCCACCGGAAGTACTGTCGGGCAGGCATTGCCAGCATGCCAGCCATGAAGTCAATGTACTCAATGATTCAATGTATATATATATATATACTTCGGAAAAGCTGACACATTGGAAGACCTGGAGGCTGCCATGGAGCCAACTACAAGGAGCTTAGAGCTCAGCTGCAACAAAGCAGAGCTCACCTGCACTGGCTGGAACTAGCTGAGAGATTCTACTTACAGTAGTTACAGTATTCAGTTCCGGCTTGGAATTCCAATTGGTGAATCAAGCTGAATCCGCATGCTGTCGATGATTTCTGGTGGGGTGGCCTTTCTTCTTAAGCTGGGTGCCGTAAGGCCTCAATGCCTTGCTGGGTGCCTCCAAGCTATGGCGCCGCACGGCTCTCCTTCTGCAAGCGATGCGCAGCAGCTACTCGGGTGATGCCTGCAGCTGCTCGGCAAACGTGTGATTTTGTAGGAGGCAGATTTCGTGGATGGCAGATTTGCTCCTTTATGATGCTGGTGTTTTCCTTCGACGTCTACCGAATGCAATCATTAGGCTCTTTTTCCATGGCTGTCATGTTCCATTTTACGTACAGTAACCTTTCCGTTTTGTTACCTCTTCTTTTTGATGTCCATGTTGGAGGTTTCATGTCACACCTGATGTCCCACACTTTTTGAAGCTGAGTTTGGGTGAGTGAAAGAGCTGCAGCGTACGCTGCGCCGATCTCAGGCTACAGTGATGCGATGAATGCCTATCGCCGTGGGCTGCGTGGCACTGAACATTTGGCCATGGGGCCATGACCTCTGACCCATGCAAACAGCTTTCTCAAGCCTCTCATACTGTACTCACAATGTCAGTCCTTCAATGTCCGTGTTGTTCTTCAATTCTTAAACCTGTTCAAGTGATGCCGGCATTCCTTCCTGTTTACAATGCTTGTTGAATAGTGTGTTGCTTTGGGAGGTCCCAGTGGAATCTGGCTCAGCAAATCTTTGCAGAGATGCCCCAGAAGCAGGCGTGATGGCGTGGCATGACATGGCGGGAAACGACAGCATGCACCTGATGAGGGGGGAACGACAGGTGCAGCAGAATGTCTTCCACTTCAACGAGGTCATGTGCAACATCCTCCAGGAGGTCAGCGCGAGAATTCTCCTCCGCCCCTGCCAAACAGTAGAAACGATGTTGCATTTCAGGAGAAGCAGTGGGTCTTGGTGCTTCAACTCTATGATGCTATGGGTGCGACTGGAGTGCCGCTTGGAAGGGTTTTGGCGCAGCTGGATGCAGCAGAAGATTTGGGACCTCTCAGACACATCTGACGAGTCATCTTCTCGATGTAAGGTTTTGAATCTTGATAGTTTCTTTATGTCTCTTTGTGGCTACAGCCGTTACTCCTCCAGGCTCTCACACCCATGCGTAATAGTACGCATGCTGGGTGCTATTCAAGTATTCTTCTTTTTTTGTTTCGATGTTTAGGTTCAACTTTGACTTATATAGTTTCGTTGAAAGGTCTTGGGCTCAATACGCTTCTCTTTGTGGAGGGGCATTTGCTTAGCATGCTGTGCTTCTTGTTTGGGCATCCATACTCTACTCTACACTGACATAACTGGAAAGCTCAACGTGCTTGTGAAGCACGTAGGTTCCTAGATATATGCGCAACATGCGTATCATACTTCAGAAATAGTCCAGCGAATTTCCTCTATAAACCATGGTACCCTGGGGGTCATTTTGGTGCATTCTATAGTGGGTATTCTATAGAGGAAAAATTCCGTGGTTCTCTATAAAATGACCCACCTCGGGGTGGGTCATTTTATAGCAGACCCTGTTTGAGGGCAAGATGAACCCCGGGTGCATGGATTTTATAGAGGCAAGGATTTTGATGATGCTTCTTATACTCGAAGTATGTGACCTTGGGTAGTGTAACTATATAGAAACCATTTTATAGAGAAGTCTTCATTTCATAGAGAAGCTTGGATGGATGTGAGCAGCGTCAAAAACCTCCCACAAACAGTTTAAGCACACTTGTAAACTCCAACTTGCCAGCAGAAGCCAAAACTGCAGTCGTGGAAGCTTGCGGAAGCCACCGCGTAAGTGTATGGTAAAATTCACTATCGCTGAAGTTTTACCTTCTTGAACCTTGTTGACAATAACAAATGCCTCTTTACTTTTTAAGGAGGTTTGTCTAACCTAGGAGCACTTTAGCGCCGGGGAAGAGGACTTCAACCAAACATGGCCCGCGGAAGTCAACAAATATGTTTTTGGGGAAGGAGGTGAATGATCTGGTGTGCCATGGTATGTGATTCTACAGAGTGGCTTTTTGCTTTGAGGCATGTGCTTTTTGATGATTGAATTCCGTTGTGGAGTTCCAGGGCAGCGCACACAATATCAGAAGTAGATGTATTGAGCCTATATTAATGAAAGGCCCTGATTCTATAGAAGATAATTTGGAGGTTTCCAGGGGGTGGACTGGGAAGGAGGCCTTCAAGAACCCATTAACACCTGACTCATATGGTGTGTTGCTGTTAGGAAGGAGAGCCATTGTGTGAAATCATGTGTTGTGTGTTGTGGCTGTGGATGTGTTTGGGGTTTGTGGATGTGTGTGGGGGAGGTTCATGTTCATGTGGGAACCCTGGCATGTTACTAAAGAATGAGGCCACCTACTCCATGTTAGCAACTATATCGACCTGATATTTCCAATAGGGTGCGTGAATCTATAGAGGACCATTTTGGCAGGTGATTCTATAGTAGTCCAGATTTTAAGCATGGGATGTGTGATTCTATATTCTGCAGCCCTTCTTCTCTATCTTGGGTGCCCAGATTTTATAGTGCCAGAACCCTGGGGGCACCGTTTTATATCTATAAAATGACCACCCTTGGGGGTCAGGTGGAATTCACAGGAGGATCTTCAGAACATGTGCACTTGTAATACAAAGACAGAATCACAGATTCCCTCAAAGGACATGAGAGACCTTCTTACAATTGCAAGACAACTCTGGGTGGGTCAGGGCATTTTTAGAGAAAGCTCATGTATTTGCCTGAGCTATAACGCCGTCACCCGACGTCACTGTAAATTCGACCGAAGTTTCTGAATTAAGGCTAGCGGCTAGTGAGGCCTGATCAGCTTCTCAATGGTTGCGCAAGTCCTGACCAGTGTGCCCAGCAAACGCTGAGCGGAGCGTGTTAACCTTAAGACACTAGATACTATATAGGGACTGGCTTCATGACATGTGACCAAAATCGCCCCCCTGGCTGGGCAGACGGGTATATTTTCCCGGCTCAGTTCCCGGTCACCCAGGGGCGTTCCCTGAGCTGCCATGAGCAGCGCTTTGAGCTTGGACGGGGGTGCTCTGCTGACCAAGGCCATGAAAGAAATTGTTTTAGACGTTCTTTTTTTCAAGCTTTTCCAAAAACGTCCAATATAGAGCCCCAGATTGAAACAGTTGGCCAACTTAAAAGGAAGGGCGACTTCCCAAGACATCAAAGAACATTTTGGGAGAAAGAACGTCTCCTGGCAGGTCAGATGGGCCATTTCTGTTCACACGACGTGAAGCCAGTCACCGACCTAGTGTCTTAGCACACTCCGCACTGCGTTTGCTGGGCCCACTGCAACCATGAGAAGCTGATCAGGCTGCAGGAAAGCTAGCCAGCTTTACACACTTGAATGTTGCACCGGCTTCTATTTCGCGACGGCAAAAAATTTTCAGACGACCCAGGTCCTTTCTCAGGCTGGAAACAAACCTTTCGACCTGACGGCCTACGAATTATCATAATTCAGCCAGGTGTATTGCCTCTGATCTATCGAGCCTCTCCTCCTCAATCTCCTTCTACCTTCTTTGGCCTGTCCAACGGCCCATTGATCGTCCTCTAACCTGCCTGACCAACTCTCCAGTTTCCGGTTAGTTGAAATTCTACGCGCTCCTTGAACACCAGTCAGGTGCACCTTCAGTCCTGGACTCGAGACTGCAGTCACCGCCCTTTTGGCCTTGGGGTCTGACCAGTTGGTCCGTTCGCTTCCTTTGCCTTGCCCTTCCTTCCATGCGTAATTTGACGCCCGGAAGCCATGCGCAGACCGTTACCACTTCAACTTGGTAGCGGAGCTCCGGCTCCGGCTCCTTGCTACCATTGTTGCACTTGTCGCTGTGTTCCTCTTGGCGCCAACAGTGTTGAGACAGCGCTGGACTGCTTTGCAGCAGTTTGATGAGAACACGACAGTACTTCCTTCTTACACCACATCGCGGGACCACACACAGCAACCACGTATTCAGTTGTGACAGTTGGCAAGGTCATAACCCACTCTTGGCTAGCTCCCCCAACTCTGCAGATGACGGCGGTCAAGGACCCTGAAGATCAGACAGATGTGTTCCATGAAGCCGACCTGAATGAACCTGCTGAATTGGTATACAATAGGGAAAAGTACTGAGTCACCCACGGCTGAAAAAAGAACTTTTCTCACCATCTTCAAGGCACGTCTGATGAAACAAGGAAGAAGCTTCGCAGAACCTTGACCGCTGTCGCGAGTCAATGGCACAGTTCTTTTTGGACCAACAATGTTTGTCCACGTTTGCCAAGCGAGGGATTTGTGCGTGGGATCGCGTTCAAACGGTTGCGTGATCTCGATCCCTCACAGCCTCTGAGACAGGTTGAAGTTGCCTTGCCCCCAGGGTCCGAAGAATTCCTCCGCACATTCCTTGAAACGTCAAATTTGAATGGCCAAGTAAAATGTTTGAGCATTCGGACTCAAAAGGATGCGCTGAGATTTGGGAACCTGGCTTTGAACGAAGTGTTGTGATGTGTTGTGGAAAGCCAGTTTGAGGAAGCCGAAGTTGATGCATCAATGCAAGTGCTCAAGCTGGCCGCTGCCAATTTTAGTGAACTTAAGAACTTAAGATAGCCACAGGTAATTTCGAGCGTTTAGGAAACACAGATTGGAACCCGAGGCACTCCCACTCTCAGTCAAGAATACTAAATGGCCGAACACAGGTATATTCCTGAAGCTGGTTGAAGGGAAGTGGTGAGCCGGTGTCGAAGGATTTGAAACCACGGGGAATAGATTGGACTGTCCAGACACAACCTGACATTGCCGTTTTTGTTGGCGCCGTAGCGGAAACTGGAGCAGACTGAGGCTGGAAAGGGGATTGTCAACTTGAACCGTGTTCTCGCTGTTTCCCGCTTACCTCAAGCGAAACATTTGAAACTGACCTAGCGTAAGGTCAATGAGCCGTTTCGAGGGTGGAGTGAAGGAGGTGATGCTTTGGCAATGCGCAGTTGCGAGCTAAAGGTGGCCAACAGTTGGTGGTAATCCTTTAATATCCTTTACAAGGGACTTGAGGTTCATAGACGCAAAGCAGAGAACTTCGCAGTACTTTCACGGCTGAATTGTTCTCAGCGTTAGGCCTCGAAAATGCGATTGATGTGGCGATGGCCGAAATTGTTCAGAGGTTGGCAGAAACCCAAGAACGGATGAACACACCCTGCAATTATATAGATCTGATACTTGGTGGCAAGTCTAATATTTCAATGTATTGCAGCAGCCGGCGCCCGCCTGTGATCACGGAACCTAATGGACAGCGCTCAACTCTGTCCAAATCCACAGTGAAGCAGGGACCAAGTTCAAGACTTGCTATGGCGTACCAAAAAATGTCGTCACAATGCAACTTGAGTTGAAATGTGCATGCTCCTTGAACACCTGTCAAGTACGTTCGCTTCCTTTGAACTGCCTCTTCCTTCCATGCGTGGTCAGACGCCCGAAAGGTATGGAAAAGGGATTGAGTGCAACGCGGCAGCCGTTGTCATGAGGGACAACACGGACCATTACCAAGTCAATTGTTTGCGGTACACATTCACCTTCCACAGTAGGTTTCTGGCCCCATTTGACCTAACTAACCTACCTGGATGTGTCCGCTCCATGTTGCCGTTTCCTGCAGCCTGAAGGATTGGGGACGTGACGCTGCGGAATTCTGCGCGTCGACTGGGCAATTGGCCTCTAGCCTTGTCCTTGGGCATTGAGGCAGGGTGTTGGCACGGGCACCTTGGGCAGTCACTTGATGTCAACTGCGTTATGGGGTTTTGGCTGGCGGCTTTTGACTGGGCCACTGGAGCGAGCCCTGCACGCAAACCATGCATGCACATTTTTGCACTTCACTTGGAGCTTGGGTATGGCATGGTGCTGCAAGATCTTGTCATGAGCATGAACCACGAGCAAATCAATGGATGGCGGCAGGAAGTGGTCGGAACCACTGCTCTGTTGAAAAGCGTGGGTTCAGGCGGGCACCATCGGAGCTTCGCGTTTCAATGTGCTTCATAGAGCTAGAGTGATGAGAGCAGCAGACTTGCATATCAATCCGTTTGGTGACTTTCCTGGATTTGGTTTGCGGTAATAATGTACACAAATCATCACAAATCCATCTTGGAAACAAACTAGGGAGGAGAGTTGATGCCTACCCAGCTCGATGCCTTGAGAACGGATGTGCGTGCATCTCGTGTCCTCGTTTGGGCCTTGTGGAATTGAAACATTTTTCCCAACGATGTTGCATACACATATTATATGGCAATCGAGAAGCGAGCGTTCGATGAAATGTGTTTGAAACTGTAGCGGTGGCTCACAGAAGGCTCGGGGCCAAGGAGTCCTGATGGAGCCACCGAAGGAGGACGGGCCCGCAGGAGTAGCTAGGTTGTTGAAGGAAGGGTGGCAACGCCCCACCCTTACCTTCTTCGACGACATGCCGAAAGATGAGATCGCGGAGCTCCTGCCGGGCATCGTCAATGGATGGACCGACGAGGACTACAAGATGTTGAAAAGAGAGGCCAAGCGTCAGAAGCGGAGACTTGACTTGGATGACAACCTGTTCCTCCAGCACCAGGCCTTGCTGTTCCGAGATCGGTCTTTCATTGACCGCAAGCTGGAGGACACCCCGCTTGGCCAAGCACGAATGGGCGCGGAGATGGAGGTCGTGAGGGGCGCCCTTCCGCGTGTTGGATGGAGGTCTGGAATGCACAGGAGGGCTCACCAGTGCACGACTGAGGACCAAAGAGCCCGACTTGAAGAGAAGGAGCGTGAGGCACGCATCCAGGAGTTGGTGAAGCTTTTGGAGGTGACGGAGATGATCGAGGTGGAGAATCCTTTGGGGAAGGCCTCCAAGTACATGGCGGCTCGATATGCCATGGGCAGGCGCGCCAACACCATTCGCCAACATGTCAAGGTTGGGATCAGGTTGCGCGAGTACATGAACAAGATCTACAACGTCCCATGGCTCCGTTATGCAGGTTATTTAATAGGGTATATATCCCTGCGCATGGAAGAACCTTGCGGCAAGTCTGTGCCAAGCTCCTTGTTCAAGGCCCTCGTGTTTCTCGAAACTTCAGCCGAGGTGCCACCAGATCGGAGAATCTCAGGAAGCATGGCCCTCCAGCACTTTTTGATGGAGATCGAACGATCTGATGTTTGGCAGCCCAAGTCCAAGACCAAGGCTGCCCGGTGGACGGTGGAAATGGTGTTGGCGCTTGAGCACATCATCATGGACAAGGACAAGGAGAAGTTCAAGAGGGTCATGGCATGGTATAAGTTGATAAAGCTGTGGGGTGCCCTCAGGAGTCACGACACCGAGGCCATCCCTCCCTCAACGATCAAGTACGAGGAGTCCCATGGACTGGAAGCTCAGATCATGCGCACCAAAACGACGGGGTCAGGACGCAAGGTGGAAGTGGTTACTTGTTCATTTCATCTCAAGCTTGGCTCTCTTACCGAGGCTGGTTGGTGGAGGGCTTGCGCATCTACAAGAGCATGGACGACGACCAAAGGTTCGCAGCAAGGGACTTCCTCATGTGTCTGTCCACGGCGGACCTTCAGGCCTTTCGGAGGACGATGATGAGGTACCAGGACGCCATGGTGTTCTCCCGGACTCTCTTCACGGAGCTCTTGCGCAGAGGAAGAATGAGTTCGGGAACTACGAGCGGCTGATGGAACCAGCATCGAGCTCGTTCTGGTCGGGGCACTCCGAGCGGGTGACAATCATCAGCTGGGCATCCGCCTGCGGGATTGACAAGGAGACCCGAAAGCGGTGGGGTCGTTGGTCACCCTCGGTGGACGAGGACTACGTCACCACGACGAGGCAGCTGATCTTTGCAGCGGAGGAAGATGGCAGGCTACATCCGGGAGCAGTATGGGGTGAAGGATGTGGTCGACGACCAGGGCATCCTTAACACTTTCACCCTGTGGCTTCAGGGAGTCCATCACAAGACGCGAGGCGACTGGCTCCGCCCGGTTGGGGCTGTTGGGAGGCAAGGCCAAGGGTCCGAGCGCTGTCGGAGAATGAGGTAGTGGGGGAGATCCCATCGACTCCACCGCCATTGGCGGACTCACCCACGGAGCTCTTTTCGGAGGAGGAGCAGGAGGACGGGCTCATGGACAGCGAGAGCTACCCGTTGGGGACATACATCTTGTCCGTGGTTGGGCGCACGAAGAGGCGCACTTTGCACCAGGTGGGGGGCTGCTATCGGGTCCCGGGATTGCGCTCAAGGAGTTCGTAGTGATTGGTGCCGACCGGCCTTCCTTGAAGCCGGAGGAGGGGGAAAGGCTTTGCTCCACCTGTTTTGGATCGAAGCAGCGCATTGCAGAAGCGCTGGAGGCAGGGCCATCGGCTGAGGTAGGTTCCTCTTCTGAGTCGTCCTCATCGGATGACGGGGCCTCGGAGGCTGAAACGCCCTCGCACTGAGGAGCCGTTCAATGGATGGAGAAAGATGGCAATCATCTTTGGGAGGGGGAGTGGCTCCGCTTGGGAGCAACCAGGTTCTTTTCCTGGCCAGGGTTCGTCGGAAGATCGGTGTTTTGTTTTTTGGATTTGATAGCATGACCGCTTGGGTCATGGCTCAGGTGGGACGGGGCGCATCGGTCCGCAAGGGGCCGGTGGGGTGTGGAGGACCCGCCATGGCGCTTAGCGATGGCGAGAAGGTAGCGCGCCTAGCGCCGGACCTTCAAGGGTTGCTGGATGCACGAGGTGTCCCGGAGGACTTGCAGGCCAGGTTGTATGACGCAGGGGTGGACAATCTGCCCATGCTGTCGGCCATTGCAGTGGACCGTAACTCATTGGAAGCATTGGCCAAGGACTCATTGGGGTTGGATGTGACGGTAAGAGCACGGGACGCCATCAAGTTGGCATCGCTCTACCTGGCCTGGCAGTCGGCTTCGAAGAGGATCAATGCCCAGAACGAGATGGACGCAGAGGCCGTGGCCAATAAGACACCCAAGACGGTCCCACCGGTGGAGATGCAGTTGTTCAGGGCCGAGTTTGAGAAGCGCTACTACAAGCTTAAAGACGCCGAATGTCCCGGGAAGCAGAGCTTCGAAGATGTTTGTGAACAGGTGGACAACGGCGAGTTCAGGCCCATGGGACTTCGACACTTCGGCTCACGCAACGAGGACGAAGAAGCCGAGTCGGGGAGCCTGCAGCTGAGCAAGACCGGCACGGTTAAGATTAGGAAAGCCAGGGTCGAGACCAGTTAACCCCACGAATTTGGAGGAGTTCAGGTCCAAGGTGATGTTGATGGTGAACCACTACATCTTTGCACGTTTCAGGTACCCAAACAAGACGGTTCTCAAGGACATCAACCCGTTCACAGCCAACCCGTTCACAGCCCTGGAGTATTTGAACTACATTTGTTCGAAGGACGTGTCACAGCTTGAGTCACAGACGGTGGACGGGGTGACCCTGCACCGACCTTCACTGAAGCTCATCCTGGGCTATGACTTCTACATGAGAAAGGAGGTGACCGACCAGATGAACAAAGGGGTTCAGTTCACTGAGGCCCTGAAGGCGGTGACAAAGAGCGCCGACATCAGAGAGCGCCACTTCAGCACACCCTTGGCGGTATCCAGTGCCACTCAAAGCTTGCAGGAGACGGCCAAGGTGAAGGTGAAGAGTTTTGAACGGCAACATCCTTATGGGGACTACATCGCCAAGCGCAAGCACGGCAAGGGAAAGGGCAAAGGGAAGCGGAGTGAAAGGGGCGCAAAGGGCAAGGCAAAGTCACACCTCCACTCGGTGACTCCTGACGGTCGTCAGCTTTGCTTTGCATGGAACAACCCCCGCGAGGGGTGCAAAGGAGGTTGCAACAGAGTTCATGCCTGTCGAGTATGCCTTGATCCAGGGCATCCTGCTCACGAGCACCCGGATGTGGGTGCGGAGTGACTAGAGGGCTCAGACGCCGCTGAGCCGCCAGGTTCCACGGCGGCGTGCAAGGAATTCAAGGTCCTCTACCTGTTTGCCGGTCGCAAACGCGAGACAGGCATCCCGGAGATTTTGGACAAGTTAGCGGCCGCTTCTAAGGAGAAGGTCGCCATTAGGGTTGAAGCGTATGATGTTTTGCGTGACCCTGCGCACGACCTGCTGGTCGACCCTTTGAGGACAACGATCTTAGACAGGCTGAAGCAGGGAGAATTTGATGCAGTGGTCATGTCACCACCTTGCGGTACATGGTCGAGGGCGCCATGGGCAAATGCTAACGGGCCAAGACCTTTGCGCTCGTCCCAACACCCTTGGGGATACCCATGGCTCGAGGGAGACAAGCTGAAGAAAGTCAATGACAGTAACCAAATGGTTGAGTTGTGCCTGCAGGCCATCACGATTTGTCTGCAACAGGCCGCTCCTTTCGTTTTGGAGCACCCGGAAGACTTGGGGGCAACAACTCGCTATGGGCCTTCTGTAAGGCCGGCTTCGATCTGGCAGCTTCTGCCAGTTACCCAGTGGGTGGCAACGCAATCAGCGCAAACTGCAGCCTTCTTCCAGTGCGAAAGAGGTGCATCTTCTCAAAAGCCAACCAGATTCCTTTATCACTTGCTGGATTTTGGTAACAACATTTATCACGGCCTGCCTCAACTAGACCAAAGCAACAACTATGTTGGGCCGCTTCCGGCCAAATGCCAGTGCCATCGCACCCACATCGGTCTCATCCGGAGGCTTCCAGACGCAGGTTTTGCCACAGCTGCCGCTGCAGCATACCCACCGGCCATGGACCAATGGATGGCCGAAGCCATTTTCACCTCCCTTCTAAAGAGGGGGAAAGAGGCAGGTTCAAAGCCCAAGGCAGAGCCGTTTGAGTCACCTTCAAAGCCCAAGGCAGAGCCGTTTGAGTCGCCCTCAGGTTCAAAGACTAAGGCAGAGTCCTGGGAGTCACCCTCATCCAGGGAGCCGGCTGATGCCACGGCAGCACATTCAGATCACAGCCCTCCTCGCAACGATCCTCCACAAGATGCAGGGCAAGGAAAACGACCGGTCAAGAGACCCCTTCCAGCTCCCAGGGACGGCCTACCTTGGGGACCCATCAAGTCTGGTACAAGGGAAGGGCTCGAAGGTTGGTAGATGGTTTGGGAAACAATTCGCCTGGCATCAGACCCGTAGGGCACCGGCATCCGCCCTTGACAGGAGAGGGTCAGCGCCTGGCAGACAGGTTTTGGCAGATGGTGACAAGCTTCGTGGACGGGTTTGACAAGAAGCACCGACTGAAGCTGATTGCCGAGTTGGCTTTAGGAAAGCGCAGCTCTTCTCCCTTCTCCCAACAGGCTGACCTCATGCGAGCTGAGCTGGACAAGTTGGTGAGCACCTTGGGGCAGGACCCGAGACGGAGGCCGGGCGATGTCAACGCGGAGGTGGGTTTCAGAAGGGTCAGAGCTTGGGCTTCCCTCCTGGAGGATGCCGGTTCTTGGACGACATGGCGAGCACCGGAGTCCCAGTCGGTGTTCGTGGAGAAATCCTTGGGTGGAGGCGGTGTACGACAAGAAGGACAAGTGGAGGTCTGGGACGACAAGGAGCGGGAGAGGGGCCACAGGGACAACTACCCGTCGGCCAAAAGTCACATGGAGAAGGTAAAGGAGCATGTCCTGGAGACGTGAAGAAGGGGTGGACGAAGAGGATGACGTTGGAGGAGGCGCAGGTTCGCTACAAGGAGGAACTTCAAGTGGCCTCCTTGGGGGCGGTCCCGAAGTATCGCGAGTGGTCAGACGTCAGGGTCGTTCACGACGGCGCCCATGGCATGTCGATCTGGACCAGCCCAACAAGATGACCTTCCCACAGTACGATGACCTAGAGGCCACTATGAGGGCTTTCAAGGAGACCGCCACTCCGACACGACTGCTCCTCGCTTTTGATGTAAAAGCAGCTCACCGCCTAGTGCCCATACATGAGGCGGACTGGGGCCTCCAGGCCTGTCGACTTGATGACGAGCAGGAGGTTTACGTCTACTGCACGGGCACGTTTGGGGTGGCCACAGCCGCCTTCTGGTGGGGCCGCGTGGCTGGGGTCATCTTCCGGTGTTTCCACAAGGTAATCCCGGTCAACTCCCCTTCTACCTCCTCCTGTTTGCCGATGACGGCCTGGTCTTCACGAGCGGCGAGGCTTACCAGAAGATTCTTCTGGCCCTGCTGCTGTATCTCGAGATCTTGGAGGTTCCCCAGGACTACACGGTGGACATCACCAACTGGAGGCTAGGCATCAGTGAGAGAAAGATGAGTTGGCTGAAGGAGTGGTCCAAATGGGCCATTTCCCAAGGACACATGTTGGGCCGAGACTTCAAGGCAGGTCTTGGACGGCTTGGTTTCCTGGCCGGCATTGCAAAGAGGGCGAGACCATTCTTGGCACCTCTCTATTCCTCCTCATCTCGGGTGAGGGGAGGATCATTCTTTGAACTGCGCCTTTCAACCAAGCTGGCCATTAAGTTTTTCGAGGAGTCCATTGGTGATCGGCCCATGAGACCGTTGTCTTCGTGGCCGTCGGTGTTGGGCGAGGTGTTCCGTGTGGACGCTATGGCCGACCTGGAGGGTGTGGCCGTCGTGGTGTGGGAGACATTCCACACCACCGACACCTTGAAGGCACGATGGTTTTCAGTGAAACTGAATAGGACTACAGCTCCTTACTTGTACGTCAAAGGGGAGCCCTTCAAGACGATAGCCAGCGCCGAGCTTTTAGCTGTCACGTTGGCGATCATGGTCTTCGGCCCAGCAGGAAAGTGGCGCAAAGGAGCTGGCAGAGTGGCGGTGACCGGGTTCACCGACAACATCTCAAATGCCTACTTGCTGGACAAGTATCTCACGACTAAGTTCCCAGCTTCGTTGGTGCTCATGGAACTGTCCAAGCAGCTGGAGCTCTATGACTTGGACCTCAACCTAGCTTGGATTCCCAGAGAGCAAAATGAGCCGGCGGATGACCTCAGCAAGGACAGGTTTGAAAAGTTCGACTTGAAGTGTCGGGTCGAAGTTGACATGACCAAGCTCGACTACCTCGTACTTCCAAAGATGCTGGAGGCTGCCATGAGCTTGGACGAGGAAATCCAGCTGAAGAAGACTTCCAAACAAAAACCTTCCTTTGCTGACAAGGCGCCGGCGGACCAGAAGCTTCGCCTTACCCAGCCTTGGTAAGCTAAAGAGGGGAGAGACTGGAACGGCGAAGGAGCACAACCCCAAAAAAAAGAGCGGAAGTTGAAACACATGGCAATCGAGAAGCGAGCGTTCGATGAAATGTGTTTGAAACTGTAGCGGTGGCTCACAGAAGCCCACCCAACCCACCCCCTAAAATGGGGGAGAGACTGGAACGGCGAAGGAGCACAACCCCAAAAAAAAGAGCGGAAGTTGAAACACATAGTTATATCAGTATCATTCTTTTTGCATTTGCTTATATACACATAGACCTTAGTACCTATACTGTATAATGCGCTACATATGTACATATATAATCATATATATATACACGTTATATGTATATTTCCTTTTGTTACTTAAGCCCATAAGATCTCCAGAGAAACATTCAAATCCAGGCACCGCCTGGTCTGCAGCTCTAAACTTGCTGGCGTTGGCGAGTGCACGAAGGCTCAGCGACGGCCTCTTGGCCTTGACGCCCGGTGCAGGCCCCATGGACCAACGGAGGCGATGCGTTGTCGTGGCAATTGGAAGACGGAGGACGCACAAGAGATCACAAGAGTTCGGGATTAGAGATCTGTTTTGAACACCTCAAGCCGTTTGCAAAGGTATCTGCTTCAATGCAGCTGCTGACAGCTGCAGTGGCATATGGCCAATGGCATTTCACCTGTGCCAGGCCTTGGCATGGGATTTTAGCAAATCTGGCTGCACCGAATGTTTGGTGTCCGGCCAGGACTGGACATATTGCATGGCTGACTTGAACGCCTCGTAAGATTGGGGTCCTGATGCTCCATGATTGTGTTGATGAGTGCAACGATCCAGCACCACCGCAGCGAACAGGTTTTTCATTGTATTGATGCTGCAATGCCAAAATAGTCCATTCAAACCACTTCAGGAGGACCAACTTATGCATCCAATGACGTTCTGGCAGCAATGAAAAGTCGATTAACATCTGTCCCTTTTGCAACTGTGTCTCCTTCCAAATCACATGGGCACAGGAGTTTCTACCCTGAACTAGACTACAATACGCACAGTGATCTGAGGAAACTCCGCTGGAATTCCGCTGTGAACTACTTTAATATAATCTTATGCCCTTGACTCATTCATAGCTTCATTAAGTTTCCTGGATGTCATCACTTCATTCATGTCACGGCAATAAATACGCATAGTGACCTAAGACTCTGGACTTCATTTCATTTGGTGCTTCTGTTTGGTGCAAGACTTGGGCAGGTTTTCAAGCAGGATAAAGCGCGCCCCTCAAGTCGCACTAAGAGCGATAGTGATGGGCTGTAGTTGGTGCTCCATCTTGCCATGAGTTGTTCCCCTACTCACTTTCTGCTGCTGCACCCTCAAACACCTCCGCAGAGGTCAACGCGTTTTCGTTCGAAAATGCGGTGACACATCGCTACACTCAGATGTCCAAATATTGCCCAGGCTTTGACAAAGGCTGCATCCTGGGTTTTCATTGGGCCCCCTGTTGGGGTGCTAATTCGTTGAGGTGGATGCTTTTGGCCTAGCAACCGCTGCTTGTGCGGCTGAAGCCGGAGAGGCATGGCGGATGGCTTGGCAGTTGGAGGCCAAAGCGCAGGCGAGTTGTGGCGATCGGGGAAGTCAGGGGCGCTAGCCGCTGAAGGTACCGGCCACACAGGCATAGGCACAGCTGGGGTGTCTCAGCTGTGGTCGTGGTCAGTCCTTCACAGGGGGAGACGAGTTGTCTAAGTTATAGTTCTTTTGGCTGTCTGCAGCTCAAGTATAGAGCATAGAGCCTTGCGTGGAGGGAGCCGCGTTGTCAGCATTCACGGAAAATCGAAAGGTGGGGGGCTTTTGGTGTGCAAGTGTGCAGGCAATTCAGCAGTGGATTGATTTGATGAACGCATGACCCACGACAGCACCGCACTTTGTATGTCTAGAATGGCCATGGCGTTTGGGCGCCTCCGGCGGAGCTCCCTAAAGAATGCGGTGATTCTCCTGGTGGCACTTGCATGTTGTTTGCCCGTGGCTTTGCAGCACCGGTAGGGACGCGGGGCCTGCTTTGTTGCTTGATCAAGCGGCACCCTGACAGTTTGATCCGTGAGGTGTGGTTCCATTCGGGCCAACCACCGGAATGGTGAGATGTCGTGAGAGAAGACTATATACCCATCTAACATGAGTGTCCACGCCAGCCATGGAGGCAAAACCTTTGAACCAGGCAAAGCTATTGACTCATTGACGCTTGAGATATTCCTTTTGAGGCCTTTAGCATGCCACCCAGCCGACAGAGCAAGCCAAGCAGGTCAGCGAGGCGTCAGGGCGGGATGATGAGGGGAGAATTTAGTGCAAGACCCGCAGAGGACCTCAAGTTTCTGGTGTAGTAATGCCCTTGTCTAGTAGCACAAATTCCCGAAGTTTTACCCTGTGTTCAACACCGCTTGCATTTTCACCGGGGGACCTGGCGAGGTAGGCTCGTCGCATCCGCCAAGGAGGTGGAGGGGGTGGAGTAGATGTTCAAGCCTTGTTTGGGCTCACAAAGTGCTCCAAAACCTGCTTCAAGGGGTCAGGTGTTGAGTGATCCCACCGCAGCCAGGCTCGGATCCTCACCTCTCACCCTGGACGAAAGGAACTCTCTCCAGGCGTGGCGTGGAGTGGAGACTTTCAGCAACCGGTGCCCAGTGCATACCTCCTACGTGCTGGTAGGGGGTTTGCTTGGTATACGGCGTATATATATATATATATTTATGTATATTAAAAACCAAATATATATATATATGTTTATTTTTAACATTATTTGCGAAGTTTGTGCAAGATGTGCACTGTGTATATATATATATATACATTTCTGTTGCAGTAGCGATGGGAATTATATTATATAGGTGTTTGAGGTAGAGCGATTGCCAGTGATTCTTGAAGCAACCTTCAGAACCAGCTACAGCCCACCTGAAATCGGATGCTCCTCCGTGAGCCAAGACCAGCGACCTGCGTATCCCAGGCATTTTCTGACCTTGATTCCTCACCTTTGTTTGCTTGGGCCGCATCTGCAATCGTCGCAGTGGCACTGCTTGCTTTGACTCGATCTTAGTCACTTCCCCGTTGGGGGCATACTGTTACTGCATGTTACTGCAGCTCATGGGGTTTCGCAATTTGGGCTGTGACACTTTATCGAACTGCGAATCCCGCACGGCTGTTGAGCTCCGACTCTTACTCGAAAGGAACAGTTTTCTGTGTTTTTCCCTGCAAACAAGCGCTCCAAGAGACGTGCAATAGCTGTGCTATGCCAATAAGGCCATGGTCAGCTGTGGCTGACGAGAACCTTGCACGGGTAGCACCCTGCTTGCTGAGCAAATGCCAGTCGCGCAGCTGCAACGAGTGGAACGCACAAAGTAACCGTATAATGACGGATTCGTAACAAAAAGTAACAAGAAACCGTTCATATCATAGCACAAGTGAGTATGGCTAAATCTAGAATTTTGGGGAAGAACTCTTTTTGCCGAGCTGGTGTTGTTGCATGCCGGTTCGACTTTGCAAAGGCTTCCCTTGGCCAAATGCATTTTGAATCCCAGCTGCGCAGCTGACTTGACGTGCGTCATTGCTTGCAGTGGTCAACCAGATGAGTCCAGCTGCCAGAATCTTGGAGGGCTCAGCCCACGGGCAGGCTTTGATGGGTCGTGCTGAAATGGGCATACATGGGCTCCTTTGGGTTCAGACTGTCTGTGACTAGTTGCACAAGCAGCCAGATTGCATTGCAAGCCGCAAAACCTGCCCGTGAGTGGCAAACCTTGCTTGACACTCTTGGCTGTTCTCGTCATGCGGCCCAGGATCAACTGCGGGAACAACTTTGAGAATGATGTAGTGGTCGAGTTCAACAGGTGTGCGTTGAGTGCGAAGAAGTGTGCCCTGGCGTTCGTTGACTGCAATCTCAGGATGTCATTCCATCAAATTCCATCAGGTCAATCAGTCAACATATTATATTAGTTATATACTTCGTTTCTCCGTCTTGGCTCAAACGCTTCACCGCTCTAGTCGTTGCATCGTTGCACCTGAGGCGTGCCACAACGCCCTGACAAAGGCCCGGTCCCAGGTGAAAAGAACTGGGAGCCAATCAAGGGCCGGTATCCACCTCCACCACCCGATAGTGTCAGCGAGACTTGGTTGTAAGATCGGGTTTGATCCTTATGGGTCCGTGTGAAGTGCATGTTTGCATTAGGCTTTTGAAGTACCAGATTTAGTCCTAGAAGGAATCGGTGGGGCACGTGTCTCACCATTTCCAAGCGAGTTTTTTTCCTTCAAAGGGGACGCTTGATGGTGCTGCAATTGTGCTTGTCCAGCTTGTGGACTGCAAGTTACCTCTAGTCATTGTGTTTGTTGTTGTTTCGTGCTTTGTCGATGCGGGTTTTGTTGTTTTCCACATGGTATTTCACTTCACGGACGCCTACTTAGGATGACTTTGAGGTCACCAAGATGACAGGAAGATGGTATATCACAGCTGGATGCAGCCTTAGCTCCTGCTAGATGAACGATCAGCACCACACGAGTGTGCAGCAATTCAGAAGACTGCCCGGTTTCCGTTTTGAGTCATGCCCACTCAGGCTTGAACCCCTTGTTCGATACGTTTGACTGTCAAGTGCACTTCTTTGAAGGCCTCACCTGTTGCAAAATATGCCGAAGCCTATCTAGTCTATGCAGATTTGGTGTTGTACAGCGGCTGAAGAGAATTCCACAACTAAATGCATATGGCATGAGCTTCGGCAAAATCTGCGAAGACGACCAGTCACATGATGAAGGTGGGATTAGGACACCTGCGTCAAACCTGCACAATCGATGAGAGCACTATTTGTCATATACACCAGTCGATCGGGACAGTGCCTCCTGGCACACCAAGATGCCTAAGGATTTGTCATGGTCAGTGACTGTTGCATTTGTAGCGGCACTTGTTTGGCCTTCCCTAAATTCCAGGACCAGTGCTGGTGTTGAAACTCAGTCCTACTTGATGAGTTTGAGACTTGAGACATGTCTCTTGTGGCGTTCTCTTCAGGCATGGCCCCCACGGAAAATTCATTGGGCCGCCTCGTTGGAAAGATCAATTGGCGCATCAACGAGGCTGCGTCAAGAGACTGGGAGAATGCTCGGTGGGCGAACAGTCGAGGGAGGAGGAAGAGAACATCCCAGGCCGAAAGCTCGTGCAACTCAGCAGGGGCCTTTGAATATGGGACCTTTGAGCGCCTGAAATTCTTAAAGAGTGCAGGGTTGGGGCTTTATGGAAATTGCTTCACCTTGGCGACAGCCCATCAGCATACATCAAGATACACCATGAGCTGGCGTTTCAGGGTAGGTTTCGCCTCAACATCGTATGTCCAGCAACATTCATCAATCAATTGGCCTTACATTGGCTTCAGGAGGTGGCTTGATCAGGTCTAGTTGCTCCATGCCAACCAGAACCCTAAGCACCATTTGAGCTGAACCCACGCGCCCCGTTACGCGCCGCCCTTCCCTGTGCCTCGCCCCAGCGGTGTCGGTCGAGCGGTGCCAGGTGGATGGTGAGTTCATCTCACGGTCGACGGTCCAAAGCCACTCGGAGCAAGCTGAGTTCGGCCGTGCCATGAACGCAACACATCATATGGCATCATAAGGCCATGGACCATGACCATACGGATAGAAGATGATAGAATAATGATTGAATCAGAGTGTTTATTTCCCTTAACGCATGTTCGATCTTGGCAATGTGGCAGGCTTTGTGCAAGCACAGCCTGGCCTTTTGTTGAACCACGGGAATGACTATTTAAACTATCAAGATGATTGGTATGTCCTTGACCACGGCAACGAAGACGATCCAGAGCTTGGTTTTGTCCTGATCTACTACCGCGGCCAGACGCTTGGGTGTCAGCATCATTTGTGGGATGTTGAGCGCGGAAGATTAAGATCTCTTTCTTGCATTCCGAATTCGAGATGCCTTGGCTTGTGCCCATTCACCTGTTCGAGCTCTAAGGAATGATGCATGGGCTGGTTACGGTGGCGGAACCCTTTACACCCGCAAAAAGACGGTGCCGCGCGAAATCCTCGAACGGGTTAGGGAGGCAACAGCAAAGGCCAATGTGCCATATGACAAGTATTGGAAGGCGGGAGATGGGTCGAGTCCGATGAGACCGAGTCTTCCCATCCCATTTTCGTCTTTGTAGGGAGGACGAGGCTTGACAATGCGGTTGGTGTGAATTTGGACAACCTTTGGAGTCTCTCACCCGACGTTTTCCTCTGACCATGGGGCCTAGTGGAGGTTAGCAGGGGGTGCTAGAGACAGCTGTTAATGTTGACCGTTCATGAATCATCCCCTATACTTAGATGCTCCTAGATGATCAAAACAATTGAACCGTCAACATGACTCGTCGCACCAGGTCACTGACAATAGCTGCGCAGCTGAAGGGGACCCAGCCAAGCTGCGTACTATCTATGCAGAGAAGCTGCTGGAGCAGGCGATGTTGGTTAACAGGCAAATCTCACCATGAGTCTTTGAGTCAGACTGGTGAGTCACATAACTTGGAGCAGATACTGCATAGTTATAATATAGCTATATATATAATTATAGTTCATTATTGTCATTGGTGAAATGCTCTTTAACTCTCCAACAGATCACTATAGATCCACAGGTGCCGATTGAGAGGTGCTTTTGCGCTATTCTTGCTGAAGAATGGATTTGTTGTTTCCGCCTAAGGCACTTTGGTAGGTTGAATCTCCTGATGTGTGACGTTGCTGCACTTCGGGCTCAAATGCTAGTGACTAGTGCTGAAAAAAATAGTGGGCCTTGTTCTAGGCCAGCTGCCCAGTTCCCGTTTTCGGCAGCGAACAGAAGGCATGGGACATGAGCCACAGGCAGCACATGCGCTACTGGCGCCACTCGCGTCGGCACTACGAGTGAGTGCAGCAGACACCCCAGCGGTTCGCTCGGCGAGGGCCCAAGAGCTGCGGAAGCAACAGTAGCCTGGTGATCGTTGTTTTGCAAGTGTTTTGGGTTTTTGCATTTTCTTGTTATCATCCTTGTTTTTGCTTATTCTTATCTTATTCTCACCCTTGTTGTATTCTAGGTGAAGCTACATGCCGCTACATGTATTGATTTCTTTTGTCTCTTTGGTATTTGATTTCGATCGGGGGTGGTGAAAACGGTTTGAGAGCCGTGCAGGAAATTTTTGCTGAAACTTCACCACATGCAGCAGATGGCCCTTCTTGAGCGGCAACGCTTGGAGCTCGTTGAGATGTCGGAGAGAATGGCGGCTTTCCCCAAGCCCACCGGCGCTGATTTGGCGACTCCAGGCATTCCGCCGGTACAAAAAGAGCAGAAAGACCGGAAATCTAAGGCTCAGGATCCTTGGTCATGGGAGGATGGTGTGGTGACAACCGTGATGATCCGTGGTATCCCACGCCACTGGACTCAACAGACGTTGCTCAAAACGGTGGCCGATGAGGGGTTCGAGGAGCAGGTTGACTTCCTCTACGTGCCCTTGGACGGCAAACAAAGGGAGGCGAAGGCGAATGTGGGCTATGGCTTTGTGAATTTCCATGACGCAGAGCTGGCCTTGAAGTTTCGGAATTCTTTCGATGGGCGGGTCCTACATCATCACACCCCTCGGAACAAAGCAGTTCGTGTTCATCCAGCTTCCATCCAAGGGTACGATGCAAATGTGGCGTACTTCATGGACAAGAAGACCGCGGATCACCCTTCTTTCAGCCCTTTGATTTTTCCGGTTGCCGGGAACAAGCGGAGGGGTAGTCAGGCAGCCAAGGGGCACTCTTGCTGATACCCAGACTGACGCTTCCAATGAATTGCTCGTTGCACATCACAGTCAGTCAGGACAAAAGAGTGGAACCACCGTGTCTGCAACTTAGCCAGAAGTGAATGAAATGAAGGAATGTGCTTAAGCCGAAATGCGGCATCTCTAGTTCCTACACTACAGTGAGTTGATTTCCTTACGCTAACTTTGTGAACGCACACGGGAAAGCGCCGTGTGCGGACCCTCGCGACGGGTCACGCCAAGATCTTTGTACAGTCTGGTTCTGGCGATCAAGTGTTCCAGATTGTTCCAGTGTTGATCGCCACTGTTTTTACAGTTGGATCCACTGATACGACTGTATCCTGTACACTTAATTAGCAGTCACTTGACGGGTGTTCAGCTAATGTTTCAGCCCAATCTGGCGTTTGGTAGGATTGGCGCAGGCCGGGCACAAAGAGGGTGAGTCGAGCACCAGTTGGGGTTGAATGATTCCGTTAAGTTGGAGGCTATGTGTCGGCTGTTGCGCAGATGAAGTCACCAAAACCTCATGGAGATTTGTCACGACACCCAACTTGGGGTGAGTCTTGATGGCTTTCAACCATGGAAAAGCTTTCCAAGAGCTTTCCTTTATTTTGGGCTGGCTTTGTTCCATTGCAGGCAGAGATGGGCTTCGAAGAGTGTCTCGCCATTTAAGGGGCCAGCGAGGTCGTCCCTACGTTAAGGAACCGCAGTTGAGGTGCAAGACCAGAACAGGCTGACTGAGCTGTCAACATGGGCACACAAATCAGAGCATATGCCAAGCCTGCTTACCGCCTGCGCGTTTCGACAAAATCCAGCGGTTGGACACCTGAGGCAGCTTACACTCTTGGCAAGGACCACGGTATCAAAGATAGACAAGGCGGATCTGTCAACCATTTTTCCACGCGATTTGCCGATCGGTCGATTTCGACTGTTTGCGTCGGTTTTGGTCGCTTGAGACTTGTCGCGCAGGAGGAGAAGGTGATCATGGATGCAGCTCGAAGGTTGGAGAAGAAGACAGAGGATGGAGCCGGGAGACTGACGGAGACTGATGAGTAAACGATGAAGAGCATGTGAAGAGATATCAAAACCGACTCGAAACCCCCAAGATCCAAAAATGGATGCGGCTAGTGTTAACCATGTGGGCTACATGTGCTAACAGGTCTCGCCTCTTGACGCACATGCAAGCCGCTAGGCGTTCGTGAAAGAAGAGTTGAGGGACAGCGAGAAAGCGAGACCTGGCAGAAGTGCGAAGGCAAAAACCAAACAGGTGCGGTAAATGATGGTAAATGTCATGTGAACTTTCCTGAAAGGATCTGAAAGGCTGGTTGTGTTTCTTCCTTACATGCACCCGATTGATTAATCTCCTGAACACAGCTGTAGTCGCGCAAATAATTTTGCTGTTGACCGTTTACTAACCTTTCGCACACGCATTGAGGATAGAGGATAGCGAGCTTGCGACGCTTGAACGCAGGGATTGCGACAGGATACTATAGATGAGACTGCCTTTGTCTTTGGGCTCTTCCATACCGCAAAAAATAAACAGTTGTTGGCAGCACCAGGTCATTGTGTTTCAAGTGAGCTCACAGCTTCTTGACATCAGCTACATCCACAAGTGATATGGCAAAACTCCTTACAATTTAAAAGGGTGCCCACTATGCAACATAAAGAGCCCTCAGACCCGATGATGTGCGCGCAGAACAACCTGGCCCCTGTCAGTAGTAGACTATTGTCTTCTATATATATTGTTTTTTGGACATTTTCTAAAGACTTGACGTGTTGTGGACCTGGCCAATTTATTTAGTCCAGTGCAGGACCATCTATTCTTTTGAGAACGCGGAGTCGTACAGTAATCGTGTTGGCTCATTGAAACGTCCAATCTTCATTGACCCCAGGTTCGAAGCTCCCTTTCGAAAGCTGAAGGAATTCTTCAAACCCAAGAGGTCGATCGAAGTTGTTTCTGTGCCGGCCATGTTTGTCGTAAGACGACAGTTGTTCGACGATGTGATGATGTGATCCAGCTTTCATAGGTAGCTTCCTGATTTTTCCACCAGGCAAGGCAAACAGATCCACACAATACTTGGTTGACGTGCTTTGCTGCAAAGTGCTGTCGCTGTCGGAAGAGCCTCGACGACAGGTGAGTGGTCTGCAGGACTCAGGACCTGTGCTTTTGGAAGTGAGATGTTTGCCGTGAACCTGCTGACTTCTCGTGAACCCTGTGAGGACTTGTCAGTTTGCCCCGCTCACTGACAAATGTGAACACGGGTAGGAAGAAAGCGCTTGATGGCAGCGAGGCTGCCCTTAACTATTGGCCGTTTTGGCCGAAATCGGGCCTTCGCCCTCCCAAGTGAACTGCAAGACAGGCGAAGAGGAGCCGCATTTTCCGTAGCAGTCGTGACAGTCAGCGAATTTCAATGCTTTCTAATTCCCGTCAACGACAGCTTTCGTCTTGCAGTGCATTGTGGGTCTCCAGATAGCAGTTTGAAACATGCTGCCAGAAAACAGGTGCAGCTTGCACAAGTCGGACATGGGTAAATCCAAGGTGGAGGACTTGTTACAATTTTACTATGTTACCTTACTTGCGCACAGGTGGTCAGATGTCAACCACCGCTGGGTTGTGAATGTTGGCCCAGAAGCTTTGTATTGTATTTTACTTCTGCACTGGTACGTTCAGGTTTGTGGACGGGTTCTTCCCAACCCTGGAACAGAAGCCGCTGTAAACCTATCAGTCCGCAGCGAGGGAACCTCCAACTAGAACCTCGGAAAGCCTGATCCGTATATTTCAGTAGGGCTGAGTAGGGACTTCCAATATCGTTTTGGCGGCCTTGTATTGCCGCTACCATGGGCTATATAATTGTGTCTATTTACATATATATATATATGTATATCATTATCTTATATTCATATATATATATATACGTAGCCGCCGTATTATCGTCATTATGCAATTGGTCTCTTGTCTCTCTCCCCCTCTCATCTTCCATGTCGGCTTCTCGACCAGGCCTTGGGCCTGGAGATCGGCCTGTTCGACAGGTGCGAGGGCTCTCATTAGTTTGAAGCTACTAGTAACATCGTTGTTCCTAGTAGCGTCCTTGTTCCTAGTAGCGATGCCCTTTGCTCCTAGTAGCGTCCTAGTAGCATACCCGTTGAAATTTCCTTTAAAAAATCAACCTCCCTGGGTAACAAAAAGAGCTTCGATATTGTAAAGAAAAAAGTTTGTTTCCAGGTGCCCGTTTTTGTGGGGGTGGGGAGGTTGATTTTGTAAGGGCAGCATTCTTTCTTGGGGCTGTTGATTTTGTAAGGAATCGATATGTTGGTATGGATGTCAAAAGTGCCGCACTGATGAGGGTGGGGTCCTTGATTCTATGCAAGTTTGAGGGTGGGGTGGTTGTCATGGACAGTCGATTCTGTAATCGATTGACCTGCTGTAAAGCATGGACAGTTGATTTTGTAGTGGGTTGAGCTGCTGTAGAACATGGTCTCATAAATTCTCAATAATTCGCATAATTTTTCATGATATATCATAGATAGGATATATTAGAACACACACACACACACACACACACGCACACCAGGCATCCCAAGAGCCTCGTTGAGTCTCGCTGCTGAGTTGATGTTCAATGAAAGTGTTCTCTTTGAACCCAGTCTATCCCACACTTCAACGCCTTCTGCTGGAAGATCCTCTTTCTTCTTTGCCTTCTTTGGTGGAGGAGTATCCACACCTGCCGCAATTAAACATCTAGTGAGGGCTTCTGAAGGCACTTGTTTCTAGGTTAAACAGGTTTTTCTACTGTATCGAACCAGTCTGATAAACTCTGTCAAAAAGTCTCCCAACAGACCCATTGAAACCCACGCTTCACTTGCCTTCTGCTTGAAGACTCTTCGCCTTCCGCGCCTTCTTGGATGCTGGAGTTCCCGCACCTGCCGCAATTAAATGTCTATAGACTATAGATGTCTAGTCAGGGCTTCTGGGGGTACTGGTTTCCAGGTGGACACATGAAGGATCATGAAGGTAAAAGTACCAAGGAAGATGTGAAACCTCAGAATCCTAAATCTTCAACACGTCCCAACGCAACCCTGGAACCCCCACACTCCAATGCCTTCTACTAGAGGCTCATGCTTCACCTTCGTTGTCGCAGAAATTTCCCCACCTGTCACAAGTGAGCCGGGAGAGAGAGCTTTCTATCTAGGTGGATATCTACAAGCGCCGTACTTAAGTCAACCCACGTCGCGTGAAGTCAACTCACTGCATGGGCACAAGGTTTCAGCGAGAAGTCAACATCAACCAATGCCTGTGAACCTGTGAACCTGTAGCGATAAGTAAACCGAGACTGAAATTTTTGATTCTGTATAAGTGCCTCTGGATGCTCTCTTGGTGCCTCTGATTTTGTAAAACTGTTTCCTAGTGATAGACATTGGGATGCTTGATTTTGTAATCAACTGTTTGGCGCATTGGTCCGTGCTACTGTTTGACCGTATCGTATCGTCTCGATGAGGTCGCGCCGAATCATTACAAATTCGTTTGTTTTTTCCAATCCAGGTTTAATGATTGAGATTTTGTATCTTGTTTGAGGCCTCGGGGTGGTTGATTTTGTAATTGTACTGAGCCATGTCGACAGAATGCCTACGATTTTGTAAGGACTGTATCTTGAGACTGGGACAGTTGATTTTGTAATATTGGCTGGAGAGTTGTCCCTTGCCTGCGTCCTGGGGGGGTTGATTTTGTAAAGCTTTTCAGATTGGCGAACCTGGGGTGGTTGATTCTGTAGCACATTTTCCTTACAAAATCAACCACCCCTACATACGCCAGGAATTCGAGGGGGTATCTAGTAGCTCATTGGCCACTAGAAGCTGCTAGTAACAAGTGCATCGCTGCTAGTAACAAGGGTTTTGGTGCCAGAGACCACTTTGACAGCCGCTGTGTGGGACTAATTAGTAATTAGTGTCTTTAGCTGCCAGGCCAACACTGCCACCAGCTAGCCAATCAGGCATCACGTTTGCAAGGGCACAGGGTGATCGATTCAGCTTGGCGATCAAAATGTATCACTGTGTATATATATACACGTTGATTATGCAGGTGTGTATATATATATATATTTACTTGTTTTTTGGGGTGGCTTTGATTAATCATGAATCCCGACAACTTCCTTTTGGACGTTGCTGTTCCACGAGCCTTTGCTCATGAGTGTGAGCACACATTGCGGATCACAATCATGAACCTTGGTCACCTTGGTTTGCAATCCTGTGTTCCAAGCGGCTTCAAGACAACAAATGCAGTCCACTGCGCTGAGGCAACAGGCCCAGCTGGCAGCAGACCTTGCAGCGGTGGCAGGCTGGCTGAATGGGTTTATTGGAAGCAGCTGAGGTGAGGAACAGGAATTCAGAGGGCACTGAGTAATTAAGTATATGATTGTGTACAGCCAATAGAAAGCCATGTACTTTTTGGGTAAACTTAACCATCTTGTTTGGGTATCAGCGCTCCATTGGGATTAGCTCCCGCAGATGAGTTCTTGGAAACAGTGTTGTTATGGTCATTTGGCATTGAAATAGTGGCAAGGGATGACTAGGGGATGACTTTGTCAGGTTCCATTAATGCCCCACTCCCGGTGTCAGTGCTGTGCCCAAGGGTGCCCAAAATGAGAGTTTGTGACTAGGACGAAATATACATAATGATCCTATTTGCATTTTGCTCCCAGAGAAAATCACATACACGAGATGTGAGCTTAGTGATGCATGCATATTATCCGTTGAAACGCTCCCCCCCAGATTTGTTGCACGCAGTTCCGTTTGTCAACTTCCTTTCACAGGGATCTTCCATTTGGACCGGCTTCCTTTCACGAAAAGTGAACGGACAATTAACACGAGAAAAGGGAGGAGGCGTCAACGGCGTCAACTTGTGATCCACTCACCGCTCGCATCGCTCGCATCGCTCGCATCGCTCGCATCGCTCGCCAGGCCTTTCAGAGGTCCAATGGGCTGGCCTGGGACCCCAGCAGGTGTCAAGACTGTGAAATCAGACAGCTAGCGGGACTGCAGCTATGATATGCTATGGCTATGGGTTGATATGCAGAAAACTCAATTGATGGTGGCTTTTGCCAGGGAGTTTTGGATCCTAATGGTGGTCATGTTGTGTCAGTGCATAGGTGATTGGCGGATTGACATGCTGTCTGGTCGAGAGAGGAGGGTGCAAGAGAAAAGATACTTGCAGGGCCGCGGAAGCTCTCTTCAGTTTCTTGATTTCTGCAGTTTGGGACATATTTGGCAATAGCCTGAGACTGAATACTAGCCAATGCCTCCTAAGCATCCCGCTCAAGGATGCTTCCAGATGGCATGAGGCGGGAAGAGAACTGGGAACTCAGTGAGCGGCTGCGAACAATCTGCCGTAGTCATTCCAGCTTTTTGTTTGACAGGACAAGGAACACGTTTTACAGGACAAGGTCTAGCTATCTCCTTTCCAGAAGCACATTGCTTGCCACCCGCCCGCGCTTGTGTGCTTCAAAAGCATAGCAGACAGTAGGGTGTAGTGTAGACCATCAGAGCCATGCTGCTTTCGCAAGGAAGTTTGCTGAAGGAGGACTCCATGCGGGGTGTGTTTCCAGAAAAGGCAGCTGTGAAGTACAGCTTTCCACTGCCGGAGGGCTCTCCTTTGTGGCTTCGGCGCAGCTTCAGGTGGTTTCAGGGTGCGATGGGGGAAGACCACAAGACCGGCATTATCTATGGGATGGTGAATTGGATCGTGTGCGTGCCGTCTTTGGTGTCCTATGCGCACATTGTCTTCCCGCAGCCAGTTTTTCGACCTTTCCTGCCCATGGTCGTCAAGGCCTATTTCTTAAGTTCTGCCGTGATGCAAGTTGTGATGACGTTCTTATCCGACGTGGAGTTTTCCATTGGACAAATACAGGATGTGGGCTTGATTTTCCTGGCAGGAATGGTTCGGACGATTGTGAAATGGGGCATGAATGAGGAGGACCCACTAACGGCAGAAGAGTTGATCGCCACCAGTGTTTACCAGTGTGCAGGCAGCACTTTAGTGGTGGGGCTTGCTTTGATTATCATTGGTCGCTTGCAGCTCATTCAGTATGTTCAGATGCTTCCTTTGCCGGTCATCGGAGGCTATTTAGGCTACATTGGCTACTTTTGCTTTGCCGCAGGGCTTGGAATCGGGTCAGGCCGTGAAGTGAACGACCCCAGCTCCTTGCTTCAGCTGTTCGATGCAGAACTTGCCCTGAAGATGAGCTTGTTGATGGTCATGGCGTTGATCATGATCTTTGTTCACTTCAAGGTGAAGCACTTCTTGGCGATGCCGGTGACCTTGGTGTTGCTGCCTGTCGCCTTCTTCCTTTGTGCCGCTATTGTGGGTGTCTCGCTCGAGGATTGCCGGGCAAAGGGCTTAGTGCCTTACCCTCGTGGCAGCTCGAGCATGGAGGAGATGTGGGCGATCATCAACTATGAGGACGTGCAGGTGAACTATTTGTATGGGCAATTTGCAAATGTCGTAGGTTTGATCATCATCGTCACGTTTGGTTCCTCTTTAGACATCACTGCCATCCAAGCTGAGCTTCCAGCTCGCAAGCTGGACTACAGCAAGGAGCTTACAGCCATCGGCTGGGGGAACCTTTGCAGTGGCTGCGTCTTCGGGGCCACAGGATCCTACATCTTTTCCCAGACCATTTTCAGTGCCAAGCGTTCAGTGAAGAGTCGCTTCAATGGCATTGTGGTGGCCTTGGGGGAGTTCTTGCTCTTCGCTTTGCCGGTGGATATCTTGAAAGTGCTCCCCAACGCCTATGTAGGTGCCCTCCATGGTGGGTCTTCTGTTGTGAAGGGTCAATAAAGACCATAGCTACGATAGCTCTTCCACTTGATTGCAGTTTAGTTCTTCAAGTCCGTGTGCTGAAAGCAACTTCTAGCATTGCAATCTTGTGTTGGTGTGCCTGTAGTCCTGTTTGCATCGTCTGCCAGATTAGTCAACAATTTGAAACGATGTCGCCACGCCCCAAGGTAGCAATCCTGAAGCAGGTGAAAGGTATGTCTCAAGCAACCCACATCCTGTTCGGCAATCAAAACTATTGAAGAAACCAAGACATGACGGACATGACCTAACTATAATTCATTATAATTCTATAATCAAATGTTCTCCCTGTCCATGCCTGTCCATGGGCAGGTGGCATCATGTGCCTCTTTGGTGTTGACATTATGAATGACTGGCTGGTGGAATCCCGAAAGCTGATGTCTCGCACCGAATATCTCCTTGTTTGGATCTCCTTCGGCTGTACCATGTGGCTGACTTCAGTCCAGACCTTTGGTGTGATCGAGGGCATGGCCTTGGGGACAGCCGTGGCAGGCCTTTTTTTTGTGTACCAGTTTGCCAAGGTCCAAGACAAGTGGCATGAGGTCTCTTCCAGATCTTCAGTGGTCAGACCACCTCAGGAACGGCGGCACTTGAATGCGCAGTACAACTCCATTCTGGCGATCAGCTTGAATAGCTATGCTTTCTTTGGCACCAGCTTTACCTCCATGCAGAGTATCGAAGAGGCTGCCAGGGGAGCTCGCTTCGTTTGCTTCGACCTTGGCCGGTTGAGCGGCATGGATTGCACCTTTGCAGACCAAATTCGCCTCTTGGTTTTGTCTCTGGAACGTGAAGGCACACGGATTTTCCTCTCGTCCCTCCGGTCCAAGACGGTGTGGCGCCTTTTGCTGGCCCATGGGGTCGTAGGTGAGAGTGCCCCGCAACGGCCCGTCTTTGTGACCTTGGATCAGGCCTTACAGCAGTGTGAAGAGATCATTCTGAGCGAGGCGGGGAAGTTGCGCAAGGAGCAGAAAGACGAGTGGCCTTTAGAAGTTTTGCTGCTTGATTACGTGGAAGGCTTTGTGTCTGACAAGGCTCAGGCCTCTCAGGCGGCCAAGGCAGCAGCGGCACGCTTTGAGCGCATCGAGTTGAAGCGAAACCAGATTTTGTTCCGAGGCGACGACCCTGCGAACGCCATCTTTGTGGTGGCCAAAGGCATTGTCGGAGCCTCATCCAGCTTGGACTTTGCCAAGCAGCTTGGGCACTTCGGAGCGCTATTGGCTTCTCCACAGCCATTGCACCGGCCATCCACTGAGCTAGATGCTCCTAGTGATGGCCATGAGGATTTCCCTTTCATGGAGGAATCGACCATGCAAGAGCATGACCAACACGGTGTAGGGGCCATCCTGAATGACACTGCCTTCTTCGCACGCAGGAAGTGTGGGGCGGAGGCAGCGGCGCAAAGCGATGACTGTGTAGTTTTTCGCCTTCGCCGTGCGGCGATGGATGAATTGGAGAGACAAGACCCCGTGGCAGCGGTGTTGCTGCAGAAAGTCTTGCTTCGAGACTTGTCACAGCTCATGGCTCAATTTCTGTGTCCCCTGCAAGCCGTTTCTGGCCTCAGTTAAGACAGCTGAGCCAGACATCGATGCACCAGGCTTTCAAGTCACTGGTGGCACAGCTGTCATGAGCACAATTCAGCGAGTGCCATTCTGAGTGAGCCAGCCTGCCGGCTTTCTTGTCGAATCGGTTATAGTGAGCAACAGCAGTCGGAAAAAACGATTGCGACTTGCTTTACCAATGCTTTTCGCGTGAAGCCGGTCATGAAGCCTAATGATCAACTCAAATGTACCTCAAAGTCTCAGACACATTCCGATACAAGAAACGGCCAGCGGATCGCAAGGCACTTCACATGCGAGGAGGCAATGACACTTGGCTTTGGAAGAGTTGGACGAGTTCGTGAAGTCTCAATATGTATATAATATGTCTCAATGAGTTTGGATTTCTGGGGTAGTTTCAGATGGTGTTGACTTTCAACATGTTCAAACATGTTCAAGAGACTATGGCAAAAGGAGGTTGAAGATGCCAATCCAGAATGCTACTGTACTTGTAGCTCGGAATTGATTCCTCAATTTGCTTTTGACAAATGTAAGAATGCTTGAGTCTGACTTACAATAATTTCGGCTGGAAGCAGCTGTCCTCAGGTTCAGGACTCGGGTTAATAGCATGGCATCCATTTGCACTTGTGTTTCTCTCGGCATGTTGTCATGGACTGTTTCGTTTGGACCTTCAAAAGCCAGGTGTGAGCACAAACGCCCTGTCATTGCCAAGGCAAACACATTGTTGACCGTTGCTGCCCGTGCTGCAGATGTGGAGCAGCAGTGGGAATTTGCGCTGTGCGCATTTCTGAATTCGTCTTGTGCCATGAGTGGGACGCCTGGCTGCCAACGTCTTTCGCCATGCTTGGCTGCTCTAACATGACATGTCCCGTGCAGACGAGATGCAGACGTGAAAGGCAACGCCAGGTGGATGAGGCAGCGTGATGAGGCTTGTTGACACATCGGTGGTGGAAAGAGGCTCCGTTCGATGTTGAAGATTTGTTTCACTGTTTCACATGAATTCGTTTGTTCGTTGACACAGTCCATTGGTGACTGGACCCTTTCGACATGGAGTGGGCTTCTATGAGCCTTTTCGGCCTCAGGACCAGACTGGCCAACTCAGTGGCCACTGCATGTGCCCGTCGGCTTCAGTGGGCGGAAGCTTTCAGGCAGGGAAAGGACATCAATGTGTGGATGATGTGTACTATGATGTGTATGTCCTGAGATGTGTGGAGCAAACATTAACACTGCAGAAAATACGCATGACCTCATGCATTAATACAATATATATATATATGTAAAATATATAATCTAGTAATAATAGATAGTATATATAGTCTCCGTTTGTATAGTGTTTTCTTATTGTTAGCTCTGGCTCTATCAAGCGCGCTCGCTCTTTCTTCAAGACAGGGTGCTGGTGTGCACATTTGTTGAGCAAGGCTACCAACAAGCCATACCCGGCCATACCCATTTCCTCCTTTTTTGCCCGCCACCTGCACACGACCAGAAAGGGTCTGGGGCGTGGGCGGCTGGACTTGGAAAAACAGAAGCTAAGGGCCCTCTAACATCCTCTAACAGTAACGAAGTCCCCTTTAAAGGGACTTTAAAGGGGTCCAAACTTTGTGGTGGGACTCAGTTGGGACCAAAGCCAGGTTTTTGGGCTCTATGCCTTTGTGGAGGATGGAGCCCAGAGCAGCAGGCGGGCCAGGGTTCTGGAGCCATTCGCACAAAAGGTGATGCATGATGACAAGCCCTAAGATGGCTTGCATGTTCTGGGCATTTCTACGATTTGCCTTCAAGACGGTGCAGCCTGCCGCAACTCAAGGTGTGCACCTGGAAGGCAGTTGCACCGTTGAATGGCTGACGCTTCCGGTTCGACCCGTGGGAGGCTTCAATGCTGCAATCAGTGCCAGTGCTACAAGCCGGCACTGGATGCAATCCTTCTGGATGGTCCGACGCATGCTTTCTCAAAAGCTCATACCAGATGAAATCAGCTGCTTTGCTACGACTGGAGATGAGGCAGCGTGGCCCCCTTAGCCAAGAGTGCTACGTTACAGTGGCGGGCCCTTGGCCACATCACTTCGTACCACTGAGATTGGTTGTTCCCCCATGGCTCCCTTAATTTAAGAGCCTTTCACCATTCAGCAATAGGGTGAGCTCATGTTTCACAACGTTTCGCTTGTCATTGGCTTTCGGCTGGGGGTGGTGTGAGAATGCGGGACAGCAAAGAACATAGCAAAAATGCACCCAGGTGACCAGCGAGGTGAGGAGTGAGGACTCCCTAGCCGAGAAAGGTGCTGTACTGTATATAAATGTACATATATATATATATTGTATAGTTATATATATATATATTACAAAAATACACAGTATATAAATGGACATCTATGCCTTCATTGTTGCATCCTGAGGTTTTGGCACCCTACTAGACTCGGTGGCCGAAGACTGGAGACATGAAGCCTTTGAGGTGTTGATGAGTGGCTGGGCAGTGCAATATGTTGAAGATCCCTGCCGGCCGCGGCACACCGTGCGGAGTAGAGATTGGTCGAAAGTCGACGGAACTTGGGCAAAGACAGCTGAACAACTAAGATAACTCTATAAGAGCAAACACAACAATCTTTGACCGTACAGCCAACATGAGCACGGTAACTGTGACACTATAAGACCTTTTGGTGCAGTTTGCAGTTTCCGAGGTGTTGAGAGCTCTGTGGCACCCTGGTCGCCCAGCTTCCTCCCATGGGCGATGGCCAAGCTCAGCAGCCTGGCGTTCACAGAAGACTGAACTAGTAGCGATGCCAGGAGCTACCAGTAGCGTCCTTGCTCCTAGTAGCGATGCCCTTTTTTTGGTTTAACATCTCAACCAATACCAACTCCAATTTGGTTTGGTCATGTGCCTGCGACATCATGCCTCCATTTTCACAGCTCATCCAGTTTTCCAGGGCTTCGTCCAGCCCCGGCACGCCTCGTGCACGCCTTTGCCGCGGCCCTCCGCGGCACGCGGTGCCGGGCAGCCGACGTGGTGGCGCTCGCATGGGCGGCGGTGACGCGAAATCAATTGGAGCGCCACAAGACTCCACACACCACAAGAGTCTGGAACCAGCATTTGAGAGCACTTGGCCGTAGAACTCCAGGATTGCTTAGACAAATTGGGTGACCTTGGTATGCTTTTTGCTTTTTTTCTCAAGGCGACGTTGTGCGTCTACAGCCGGCCACTGGCACAGAAAGTCGCCACAGATGCGCGACAGTGCATGGCAGACTTCAGCAATGAGGCCGACGGGCGACCGGGGCTTGGAACCGCCACGGCTCGGTGGGATCGAACAGAACCGCATTGGACTGAGCAGCAACCGAGTGGCTCGGAAAGGATGAGAAGGGAATAGGATAGTATGCTGCATGGGCGCCCCTCGCGGGAACAGGATAGCATGCAGGATGATCACACAAAAAAGCAAGGTGGTGTCTATAGTCTATACAGTATCTTGACAGGGTTGTGCCACACATGCAAGCACGACATAGCAGTAGCATGGCTGGATTGCCAGTCACCTCTTCGTGAAGATTTGATTATATAAGAACCAGCTAGCAGTCACAGACATTGGCTGGATTTGGAGCTCCGGGTTCATACACCTCAGTTTTTGCCTCATGGCCTTGACTGGGGCGACTCGTGTTTGTGGCGCTCGCCATTTGGGCCTTGCAGTTCTGCTGCCAACATTGGCCTGCATCAAGCACCTCACCTGCCCCGGGTGCAACTTGAGGAGTACCTTGAGTTTCTCCAGCTTTGCCCCCAGCATTCTGGGAAATCCTGTCGTTTTGGATCGCCTGTGTCATGGATGGAGCATCCACCAGCTGCAGAACGGCTACCGCTTCAATGGCGATGATATCCTGTTGGCCCGTGAGGCTTCCCGTGAAGCTTCCCGCATTTCACCCTCTCGCGTCCATCTTCTCGACTTGGGCGCCGGTACAGGCTCTGTGGGTCTCTTTTGGCTGGCGCAGGGGATGAAGACGTCAACGAAGCTGTCAGCAAAGCTGACGGCCTTGGAAGCACAAGAGGAAAGTGTGGAATTGCTGCGCCGAACTGTAGCTTGGTACTGGAAATGGCAGGCACACAATGTGCCATATTTGTGCGTATTCTTTGGTTTTATTGACAGTTGAACCGAATCACCCGAGATCCACTGGAATTACAGTATTTTAATGTATTTTATAGACTGTTTGTTTTTTGAATCAATCATTTTGGTCCCAAGAGGTTTTGCAACCTCAGGTTGATTTACTGCATCTCAAGGAGGCGGTGCGAGTGGTTCATGGTGACCTCCGCGACGATGCTTTGCGGTAGAGTCGGGGATCATTTGGCCACAAGCAGACAAGCTGGTAGGTGTGTGATTTAACAGTCCGATGGGTGTGCACCCCAATCCCTGGAAGCCTAGAAGCATTCTGAGGCACTGCAAAACGGGACTAAACACGAACATGACTGAACTCTGCCACTTGATCACTGATTTTCCACATCGAGATTCCAGGTTCTCTTGACTCTGGGTGAATCTGGTTTCAATAGAAAAGGTGGCCCTCACATGCCGTTTTGCTTTGGTGTGAATTGACTGTGAGCTCGCTGCAACGCTGAGGAAGATGTAGTGGAAAAACTGGGCCCCTTTGATTTGATCACAGCGAATCCCCCTTATATCGCTCCAGAGGAGTGGGTGGAGTCGTGAGTCGTTGGCTGAAGGTCACAGAAGGTGCAAAGGAGAGTAACAGGAGGCAATGGAATATGTGCAGTTCTAATCAGTTATATGCAGTTGACGCTCTCAGCCATGGTAGTTCAGTTTCAGGGACCTTGATAATTGCACACATTCCAAATCAGCGAGAGAGAGAGAGAGAGGACAAAAAACTGCCAGAGCATAGCCAGCGCCGCTTTTGCTATTACGAGTTGCGTGGTGGCCTGCACGACTTTGCCATGGCGGCTGCCAAAATGTTGAAGAGGGATGGCAAGTTCTGCAATTTGGACTGAGTAATATATAGATTCGATGGCTCAGCCATGCTCAGTCCATCTACTTGCTCAGTTCATCGGTTGTCGGCTGTCGCATGTTTTGACATCATAAGTCCTTCGTGCCTTGGATTCGGCCCTCGCTGGGCTATTTGAGCTATACCAGAAGAGAAAATAAGTAAACGATCTCATCTTGTTTCTCCTTGTGGCCAAGGTATTGTTCATGTCCATCGTAGAGGCGACGATGTTTGGAAGGCCGTCCAAGCGGCTGGCTTTGTCCCGCAGCGGCGGCTCACAGCTCTGGCCCGTGGCCAAGCAAAGTGGCAAGTCCTCATTTGTGGCAGCCGCCAGGATGAATAATATTGATGATCATATCATTGGACATATTTGGATGTCACAACGCTATAGGATGTTGTACACATCTAGTATGTTTCATCACTGATGATACTGATGTCTGAGAGATTTGAATGTTTTGCTTGACCTCACCCGTCCACGCTGTCCTTGCACGTTCTGCAAGCTAGTCTGCTTTTATTTTGCGCGGAGCGGATGGGAGGGGCAAAAGTTCTTGACGCACAAAGACATTGGCACGCAAACACCCTAACCCTAACTGACTGCAAGAATGCCGAAGAATGCTAGCAAGAGGACATCAAAGGCACGGACACCTGTGCATTCACTAGCTGTGACTAAGCCCGCCAATCATACTATAGGTTCTATAGATATACCATAGCTTGTGCCCGTGCCTTGCCTGACCCAGGAAGTGGGGCTGAATTTCAGGAGCAGGAGCTGTCCCACGGCCCATGAGTTCAGTATGTTTCCGATGAGTTTTCAATTGATTTCTTATATTTAATGTTTGTTTGTTGTTTGCTGATGTCCTTGTTCCCTACTGCTTTCCCTACTGCTTTCTTCTCCTTCAGCACAACCGTTCCAGGGTGGTTCGGGATCATCAAGGCCGTTGGACCAAAGAGTGGGACGGCATTTGTGCAGAGATGGGGGCTTTCCAAAAGCCTAGCTCTCAGAGTGGCCGAGCGAAAAAGGTCCGTCATGGATGGAGTTGGGAACGGGCCCACGGTTGTCATTCGAGTTTGAAAGACAGCCGTTGGGATGTTGCTGCTATGAGATGGGTTCACTTAAGCCAATGATCACGAAACTTCGTGGCGAGATACTTCAACTTCATCATTCGTCCTTGTTGGCTACAGTATGCCGCGGCTATGCAGCTCTCCCGTGCCGTCTATTCCAGAGAGAGATCTGGCAGATTCAAGGATTTGTCCCACGTACTGTTAGACAGGGAGCCTCAGATTTCCTTTGGGTTGGCGACCATTTTTTGCTACCCCGGCGTCTAGAAATAGGTCCAAGCTCAAAAATGAAGAACCCTGATCTCTCATTGATTTGTAAAACACGCGGTACATCTAATGTATATAATGCTAGCAAGGTGGCAGGTCTGGGGGAGGAAAAAGGTCGTTTTTCACAAGCTCGTGTGGTTAACAAGAAGCGCTGCCAAACGAGAGGTAAATGATCCGTCGAATGCCAGGTTTGCTCCTGGGCCGTTGTCGTCGTGGTCCGCTCTGCGCACTGGATGTTTCTGCTCCATTCTGCTCTGCCACGCAGGAGTTGCGGGTCTTGGCAGTTGCCCTTCAATCTTTAAACCCTCAGCTGCTGCCAGAGATTTGGGCCGAAGTGGCCAGGCGCTTGGAGAAGCTTGGCAAAATCGACTCACGAGTCCTCTTCGGGGCGTTTTGGGGTCGGAATGTTTCACGGTGATGGACCTTTGGATTCACCGTGATTCACCCCTCTTGAGGGTCAACAAAGTAGGTCAGTAGGTCTCGTAAGAATGCCCTCCCATCTCTCTATATACTACCGATGTGGGGGGAGTACCCCTCAATGCCATTAATGGATCAGTAGTAGAACCACCCCCTAGAAGGTCCCTAGCAAAAAACATTTGCGGCATGAACCCGTCAGAGTTCCCGAATCTCAATCCCATGCCAACCTTCCTGATCCGTTTGAATGACCCTCCAGCTAAACACGAGCACACCCTGCATAAGACCAAGGACTGGAGCTTGGCTTACCTCAGGGTCAGATTGGCAGGATGGACCGGAAAGATATAGGATCTCTTTTGCGGTGAGGGATTGCATCATGCCACACAGTATGACATTGCCCCGCATAGACACGCCACATACAAGTGAGTGCTTTGCATCACCCACCAAGCATCACCAAGTTGCTCATGCACCACCCCCTCCCAAAATGGATGTCGCTGTGCAGGACTTGCTGGGCGTTCTGGGTGCGCGGCCCCTCAAGGAAACTGATCCGCAAGTGTTCCAAGCATTCCACGGATTGGGTCTAGGTCGGACTGTCTCTTAGTGGGTTGCAGTTTCATTTTCTTGATTTGTTGGGCCACTGCCGGGCTGGTGGGAAAATGGCAAGCCACAGCTCAAGCACAGAACCACTTGACTGCGTTCGCCCAGGCACGAGAGCCTCGTGCCGTGACCTTTGCACCTGGGGGAGCAGAGCCTCAGGTCCTCCTCGACCTGCCGCATGGCCAGATGGACAGATGAAACTTCCAAAGGAAGGGAAATCATGGGAACCCTTAGCATCCCTCAGCCTCGGCAGGTTTCATTGCTTTGCTTTAGTCGTCTTTCACGGTCAACGCGTTCTTCGTGGCCAGCGAGTGACCTGGGATTTTGCACGATCGGGAAGGTTGAAGAGGCTGGTCAAGCAACGGTCCATGAGAGCCATATCCACGACTTCGGTGGATCGGCTTCGAGCTGCCTTGTACCTAGGAGCGACCGGGTCGTGGTGTTCAAGCCGGTGGGCTGGGAAGTCTACAACGACCATGGCCACATGCAACTCATCGACTTCGTGCGAGCAAAAGTGCCTCCGAGGCATTAAGTCAGTCACTCCTGCAAGCTTGCCAACCCAACCATTTATTGCTCCACCGCGCACACACACAATACAAACACATACAAACAATTCACGAGCCAGACCAAATTCTTCAACTGTTGCCAACTCATCCTGCAGAAGTCTGACGGGCAACATTCTCCCAGCTTGTAAAACGATACGTGGCACATGGGTGCACAGTAGCAGAGGTAGCCAAGTGCTCACTGCCGAGCGGCCGACAGGTGGGGGACTTGATGATCTTCCGGGATCCCAGCAGAGACATGGGCTTCTTGCACCGCTTGGATGTGCCGAGCTCCGGTTTGCTCTTAGCTGCAGCTCGGTCCAGTCTAGAGGAGCGAACAAAGTCCTATTCCCCAACTATTTGGCACTCTTCCGCAACTACTCTTCAGAAACTATTTCGCGATCTTCAGAAGCTTATTTGCATGCTTTAGAAAGTATTCTTCAGAACTTGTACAATATTGTAACCTAATTCCTAATTGCATGAAGGAGCACTGGCTGGGTGGGGGGTGGGGGGTGGGTGGGTGGGTTATTGACGTACCTTGTGACGGCTACGGTATATAGTAATTTTACGATTTGCAGAAACTTTTTCGTGCAGGCTTGATGTTGCCCTTCGACTCTTCGTAGTTTCTGAACATTAGTTCCTGAAGAAAACCGTAGAGTTTCCGAAGATTGGTTTCCGAAGAATATTTTCCGAAAATAGCCTTAATTTTCCGAAGATCACTTTTGAGTTGCCGAAGATTTGTTAGTTTCCGAAGAAAACCGTAAAGTTTCCGAAGATCACCTTTTAGTTTCCAAATAAAGCTTTGACCCTAGAGGAGCACGGTGCCCGTGCTTGGGGACCCAGTGCGGACTGCACTTATATTCTATGACTTGTTGTGAGCCTGGGATGTTTGGAGGAAAATATGCGCCATGCTTTCACTTTCCGTTCTTCCCAGGCGAAAGGCTATGAGGCACATGCGGATCTCCAGCTGCAGCTTCACACAGGCAGGGCGGCAGGGTGCATGAGGTGGGGGTGCTTGTGTGTGGGGATCGGCATCAAAACTCAAACCTGTTAGGGAACCGGCCGAGAATCTTATGTTCTTTGGGTGAGTGTTTGGTCGATATATGATATAATATGATATCATATTGTCATATAATCATATAGTTAGTTATACGCAGATAACAATTTATAGAATATAAATCATATGTCAATGTCTAATTATATGATTCTGCCATAGGCCTAGGTATAAATTTTCTCACGCCAGGAACTACTCCAGCCCCTGCAAGCTCCAGCTGTCCTTCAGAGGTGTAAACTGTTCCAACCTAATATATAGCGATGGCCTCCAACCTACTAGCGATGGCCTGTGAACCGTTGCTGCAGGTCAGCTGCAAAGAGAATACATTGTCCTTTGCCACGGCTTCCTCCCCGACATGCGTCGCCTCTTTGCCAGCACTGGGGAGAGTACGATGCTTCTGGTTTGATATGCGCAGTCGCCCCACATTCTGCATGATGGTGACTGTGTGCCTGCAAAGGCCGCTGACCTGGTAGTTTTTAAAGCATTTTCGGGCTCATCCAACGTCCAAAATTGCCAAGACAAGCAACCCCAATTCTCGTCGACATTTTGAGGTCTCATTGACGCCCGGCTCTGGGACTTGACGCCTCTCACCGAAGCGGGGCTCGGAAAGGCGGCGTCGACACGGATGAAGGCGTGGCCTGCCAAGTGCATGCATCCAAATCATTCAAGCATTTCCTTCAGCAGGGGGCTCTGACGAGCAGTGCAAGGCTGTTGTATGCACTTTGGGCACGCAAGGACGCTCGCGTTTGGCCATCGGGCCAACCCAATAACCAACAACCGTGTCAATCCTCCCAAATGAGCAGGAACTGTCATGCGACACTTGCAGTACCCAAGTGCATCACAGTTTCAAGCAGTTGCAGGTCGCTTCGTATGTTCACTTTCCTGCCGGTGCTTTGGCCTTGACAGAGGCTTGGCTCAGGTATATAATCGGAAGCCTCAAACCTTCATCAGACTCCAGGTGTTTCAAGCATGAACTGCAGATAGGGCTTGGCGAATTGAGGTGGTCATGATCAGGATTGACACTGGCCGCAAGCACCAGATCAGGAGCCGCGTCAGTCGCTGTCAGTCACTCTATGGCTGGAAGCAGAATCGAAATATGCTGCATGATATTCACTAATTTAGTGACTTGAGAAGTGTTGCTTCGCGTTTTTGTTTGGCTATGTTTGGCTTACAGCAGCATGAGAAAGACGACTTTCTCCATTGCCTCAGCCTACATTTTTTGCCTTGGGGCCCGTTGGGCCCGTGGTTTCTTTCATCTTCCTGACCAAATCGGAATGGCGAGCTCGCCTCCAAGAACTTTCCATCGCAGGCCCTTGCCTGAGCCAGCCATCGCTTTCTCGTCCTCACGAGGTCGGCAGCTCTTCAGCGAGGCATTGGCACAAGGTGGTCTTGCTTGTTTTTTCCGACTCATTGAGCAGTTCCATACACAGGGAGAGCCCGCTTACTGTGGTCTGGGAACTTTGGCGATGGTCATGAACGCGCTGGGAGTTGACCCTGAGCGAGTATGGAAAGGACCTTGGCGCTGGTTCAGCGAGTCACTCCTGGACTGCTGCGAGCCGTTGGAGACTGTGAAAGAGCGGGGAATCACCTTCAGCAAAGTTGCTTGCCTTGCACGTTGCAATGGTGCTCATGTAGAGGCGCACAGGGCTGATGAGCCCGATGTGAGCTTGGAGGATTTCCGCAGAGCTGTACGGAAGACTTGTGAGGCCGATCCTGAGGATGAAAACTTTCAGGTTATTGTTGCATCTTACAGTCGCAAGGCTCTCAACCAAACAGGTGATGGTCACTATTCGCCCATTGGCGGCTACCATTCAGAGACCGACCAGGTCTTGATTCTTGATGTTGCTCGCTTCAAATACCCACCGCATTGGGTGCCTGTGAAGACCTTATGGGAAGCCATGTGCCGTGTGGACCAAGAGACTGGCCGTTCCCGCGGATTTATGGTCATCGGATCCACTACGTGCTTAAAGGCATCACGCCTTGCTCTAGTGTGGCGATGGCCTGAATGCAGCACTAAAGCTAAGCAGGCCGCGTCAACGCTGTCAGGCTGTTCGAAGTCTTTCTCGCAGGCACTCCTTGCCGATCCTCTGCCTCAAAATGCTTCAGCTGCGGCTGCAGAGGTTATCAGACGGGCGTTGAGATTCATTGAGTCACCTCAAATGCCCCTAACGGTGGTCTATAAGGTGCCGGAAGGTCAAAGTGATCAGGAAGTGGTGGAGGTGGCGAAGGCATTAGGTAGGTTTGGCGATGGGCTGAACCGTGCTTTAGGCGACGAATGCTTTGGGATTGAAGACGTTGGCGATACGGTCGAGGAGCTTGGCCCAAACAGGGTTGCTGCATCAGTCCTGGCCATTGAGCCCTCCCTGTGGCAACAGGCCCTTGGGACAGACGTCGCAGCACAAGCGGCATGGGAGGTTCTCAGGCCGCTGCTGCTTGACTTTCCGCAGGTGCTGAAGAAAGACATCTTTGTTTTGCAGCAGCAATGGGCAGACTTGCTGACTGCACGTGAGGAGATGTGTGGTGCCATATGTTCTGGCTCATGCGAACGCGCGTGCGTGCAAGCTGAGCCCAAGAGAGAAGGTTACTAATACGTTTGGAGCCTTGGAGCTTAAACATGATCCAAGAAGGGCAGATAGCAGCACAATGACCCAAAGCTTCGCACCGAGAACTTTTCATCGCAAGACGTGGAGAGAAAAGAGCAAGGCTGCCACTGTACTGCTAGCCTGCACATCATAGCCCGGCTTATCTCATGGCCTTAATTCCATAAGTGTTGCAGTTTTGCCAACTAGTAGGCGTTGGCAAGCACAAGGTGACAAGTTCAAGTAGAGGCTTATGATGTGGGTATACTAGGTAAATTGTGAGGTCTTATTTGTTCCACGTTGAAGGCGGAAATTGTTCCGTTCATAGCGATTGGTTGCTACCAGGAGCCACATGGCGCACGTTGGGCATGCGATTCTCCGTGATGGACGGTACTCCAGCATCTTGGCGAACGGAGATATACGAGCCTTACTGACGGAAGGAGGTAGAGCCCAGGAGAACCAGGGCCTTTCGCTGGAGTGAATCAGACAGTTTTGTAGCACAACATGGAAACTTATGGATTTTGTTTGGCATCCTCAGGGTAAGGATATCCCGAGACCTTCAATGCCGGCCCTGTCGTTCAACCACGATTAACGTGACCAAGACTTAAAGGCCTTCAGATTCTTATACTTCATCTCCTATTCTCAATGTTGCGACCTGCTATGTCCAGGTGTAGCAACGTTCCGTGCAGATCGGGTCCTTTGCAATGGCATCTTGGCTCAGCTAAGCAATCTCTTTTAGCGACACTTATTTTTTCTCTGGCAGATCCAACTTGAATCTTCTGTTCACCCGTTGTAAGGCACTTGATTTTCGGCACGTTCTGTATGGGTTTATGTTCCAGTATCTCGTGTTGAAGTGAGTCTAAAGGCTTCAAGCTGGTTCCAGGTATTTATTCTAAATATGGCCACCCATCAATGCTCAAAGTGTTTGGTCCGGCGCATTCGTAAGCGGCTCTAAGCATGTGTCATTCGTGAAATCAGTAGGTTCTAAATGGTTCTAAGGTCTTTTCTAAGTATACATATGGAAAGCTTTGTTGAACCTTGAGCACTAGCCCAGACAGGCCCAGACAATGTTATAAATTATAACATATTATAACTATATAGATGAGGAGCACAGCCCTTGACTCTAGCGTTGGAGGAATTTGTGTGTGTTGCAACCACTGGATCCTCTGGCCTGCGGTTGAATGCTTCTTTTGATAATGTTGTGGGGTCCGCTCGTTTGATATGAGAGAGATGTGACATTTTCTGCTGGCAAAGCCCCTCCTCCGATGTCATAGAACCACCGCTATCATTGTCGAATTTTGCATTCTCTTGGCTTTTGTGGGTTGTCCCGTGTTCAGCTTTTGTGGTTTTCCTGCTTTTCGGCTTAAGCGGACGAAAGGAGAACCCCTTGCACAGTTAACTTATACTTATACCAAAGGTGTCCACGAACAAGGGGAGTGAGTGATGACCACCCAAGAATTCAGGTCTCATCCAAGATCCTGGAGGACACATGCAGTCACTTGCCACTCTTCAATCCCCCATTTTGGTGCACGTCAAACTGCAAAACATCAGGTCTGTGCATAGGTCAGGGGGTGCTGCAGCGATCCTGCATTCCGAGGCAGCTTTTTGCCACTCAGCTGCAAGGCGGCCCTGACCTTGAAAAGGGCATTCTGATGAGTGTAGACTGTGCCAACCCATGCAAATGTTGCACATCTCACACATCTCGCACCAGAGAGCCTTGGCAGTGGCTAGTGGAGGCGTCATGTCTTGAGTCGGAAAAGTTCAAACGCGCGGGCACGCGCGCTCTCTCTCTCTCTCTCCCATCTCTACAATCATATTGTCTGACATGAACCACTGGGCCCGGACCTGGTCACCGTCGTGAACCCAGGCATCGACATCGACTGCGCTTCGCAGCAGGTGGCGAGTGGTGGGATGTCCAGGCCAGTGAGACCTCAATCTTACTGTAGTAAATTCACGTAAATTTCCCTCGGATGAATGGCTCCTTGCATTGTGTCTTCTTATCTTACACTTTGTTGACCCACCCGAGACAGATTTGAAGGACGAATGCACCTTGAACAACTTCTTCCCTTTTTGGACTAGCAAGAACTACACGATTTCACTGCACCAACTCCATGCAGGTCCCCTTGCCTTCGGAATTGGAAGCTGCCCTGCGGCGGCTGTTTGCTGGACCTGCTGGACCTGCTGGACCCGCCGCGCGCGAAAGCCCGAACCTTGGCGGAGCCTTCTTCAAAGGGCACCAAAACCATTCGTGAGTACAAGAAGAATTGAAATATATTGAAATGCTTGAGTAGATGTTGATGATGTTGCCAGTTTCCACGGCGGTGTACTTTGTTCAATCCCTTTGGTGAAGGTATGCAAGCAATGTGCCCTAGCTTAGTGACTTAGTGCGAGGTCGCATCCACACCTGGGACGGACAGCTTCCGAGCTGGGAAGTGTTGAGCGCAAAAAGAGCAGCAGCGCGAAGCGGGGACGGGGAGCATGGCCAGCTAGATGGTATTGAAGTATATATTCTATGTAAATATATATATATATATGTGTGTGTTTTTTTTTGTTTTTGGTTTTTACTTCTTTATTTTTTTAATATAAGTATATATTAGTCGGACATTTCGCTCAACGAAATGGCTCAACCGTGACCATTATTGCCTTGCTTATCATTGGTCCTTGGTCAGAGCTTTCTCCAGGTGGCGACAAAGGGGGACAGACGTGTGGCTTGGGCAACCCAGACGTGTGGCGTTTTACATGCACGTGATGTCGGAGTGCTGGCCTGTACCAGAGAATCTGGTATCGGCATTTGCTTTTTTATGATGAGGGGCCAAGAAAAGAGAGAACGCAGGGATCAAAGCGGCAGCGATGAGGTCTATGCTCGTTTGGAGGCTGTGCAAAGCCTGGCTCCTTGTGCCAAAAGGCCAGGAGCCACGGACCATGCGAATTCATCTTCAAACTTTGGGGTACTGTATTCACTTGGGATAGTGGCTCATTGCTCACAGGGTTGCTGCTGAAGCGTGTTCTCCCTCTACCAACAGCTGACTGCATGCTAGCACCATATCACAGCTCAGCCCAATGTCAAAGGAAGTTCTACTTTTTTGCTCAACTCTTTTGCTTTCTTTTGCTATTGTATCCGGATGAGCCATGATGAATCCTCAGAGTCATGCTAGAGATGTTGGCACTGGCTTGTTTCATTTTGGTTCCTTCTCGTGACCACCAGCGCTGCGCACCAGTGGAAAGCAGAAAGCCATGGATGCCATCCGAGCCAGCCTGAAGGCTCGGCTGGACCATTGATGCTGCGAAAAGGGCCATAACAAGTCCCACACAACATGATACAACACATTTCATACTGTAATGCCAAAGGCCCATGTTGTCAAGCAGGACATCTTTGGCTTTGCATGATTTTCCTGATTCTTGCAGAAGACCTGGCTTCGAACCAATGTTGCAGCTGTGGGTGGTAGGAGGGCAAAACCTCCTTCTCAGCTGTATGCACCTTCCCTTCGGTCACTGTAAGCCAAGCACACCCAAATATTTGAGACAACAAATGTAACACCTACAGTACAAGGATGCACTTGCCCCCTTAGACTCGAGACATTTTGCAAGCAGCGTTCATTGCCAATCACAATCAAGAGCTTGTGCTTACTATCGCGGAATGAATTTGTTGCGCATCGAATTCTGAGCTTAAAGTGGGCCAACTGCAGGACGAACATCCTTCAGTCAGAATGGCAGCTTCAGAGGAGCTTTCTCAATTTGAAGAACTGGTTTCTTCAATTTGGCCGCTATCACTATCCTCCTTTAGTCCGAAAAGTTAAGCTTCATTGGCCCAAAGGAAAGTCACCAACCTGACTGCATCTACACTGATATAGAGCATCCGCTTGACAAGGAGCTCGCCAAAATCGCGAGCGAGAACGACAGCCCGGGGGTCCTGGCAGAGAGGGTGTTCATGTGCTAAATGCCGATTTCACTGACGTGATCCCGGGTTACATGTGCCGAAGCCTCTCAAGGCCGGTTTCCGACTCCATCGAACTGTCGAACGGCTCAGGTTCAGATCCTGGAGAATTGACAGCGAAAGTCTTTGCCGTGCAGGCGATGACACCTTTCGACATCCCACACATTCATGGTTGAACATAGGCTTGTTCGGCTTTCGTATTTGTTTGAGGTAAGGTGCACATATTATACGTATATATATAATATATATATAATTATATATAATATATAGAATCACATATATATATATATTAGCTATTGCTTAATGAATTTATATGCATACCTATATTTCATGTAACGTATAGATATACATAAACATATAGTAATATATATTACAAACCCCCC